GGGGAGAGATGGAAAAATACTAAAATCCTCTACATCCAGATTTAATAAAGGAAAATTAGACAACCAATCCGCACAGCAGTTTCCTTCTCTATACGTGTGCTTGATTACCACATACCACTCTTTATTCATCCAAGCCCGTATACGAGTAACAATATGAGACTCACAGGCTGACTTACTCCTAGTAGTAAGCCACGTGACCGCTGTTGAAGAGTCACTTTCAATTACTAATTTCCTCCAACCATTATCCCAAGCCAGTTGTACTCCTTTTAAGATACCCTATAATTCTGCCATAATAGCAGTACAATGGCCGATTCTATAGGAAAAACCAGAAAGCCAAAGACCAGTACTAACTCTAAAAATTCCTCCACACGCAGCCGATCCTGGGTTACCATTGGCAGCTCCATCAGTATTTAACTTCACCCATCCTTCGTCCGGAAACTTCCAGGCGATGGGGATCTCCTCCTTTCTAGAGCAAGAAATAATATACTTATTTTTTCTGGACACATTCCAGATTTCCATCGTTCGGGAATCAACCAATTGCTTATTATAGGCATAAGGAAGGCACTGCTTACCACGATACTTATCATTTCTCCACCTCCAAACTAGCCAAATGGTAACTACAAAAATGATATTCCAAGGAACACCACTAACATCTACCAAAGTAACTTGAAGATTGGATAACAGCCAAGAATTTATATCCAAACTAAAGAAATTCGGACAATACCTGTTAGCACCCAACTGGATCCGTAGACCACTAACACATAAACAGTCTCTTAGAGCATGAATGGCTGACTCATCCTCCACACGACACATACAACAAAGAGCCTCCCTCGTATGAAGATGATTCAATCTCAAATTCGTTAGCAATCTACCATGAGCCACCTTCCACATGAAGACTTGAATTTTATGGGGACCCATCCAATCCCAAATGGACTTCCAGATATCAGAATACAATGACACCCCACTTGCATGACTAGCTAACAAATTATAGATGGCCTTAACCGAAACCTGTCCATGGCCAGACACATTCCATCTAAATTGATCACAACCATCCTGAGGATGGGGAGGAAGGATGCTACGGATAATTTGAATATCCTTGGCAGGAAGCCAATTTGCTAGATCTTGGACATTCTAATTACCCGAGTCATCCAAGTAATCAGCCACTGATTTAGAAACCTCATCCCAAGGGATTGGAACAAGAGACACATCCAGGAGCCTTTCAGACCGACTAGTCCACCTGTCTTTCCAAAACTTCACAGCAGAACCATCAACTAACTCCCAAAAGGAATGGGCTTCCATCTTCCTCCACATATGACATATATGCTTCCAAAAAACAGAATCATCAATCCTGCACGAAAAAATCTCCATGCCTGACCTGTTAGAAGAATATTTAGCCAGTAACACTTTAACCCATAATGCTTGGGGATCAGAAAAATACTCCAAGCAATCTTTTTCCATAAAAGCATCATTTACAACATCCATTTTCCTGAGACCCAGACCCCCTTCATACTTTGGTTTAGTCAGCATCTCCCAGTTAATTAGATGCATATTCCTACGCCCCTCCGTATCTCCCCAAATGAATTTTCTTTGGATTTTCTCCAACTCGGCACAAATACCCTCAGGAAATCTCCCACACTGCATTTGGAAAGAAGGAATGGATGCCAAAACTGACTTTGTTAAAGTAATTCGGCCAGCTTGGGACAGACAGTTGGCTTGCCACCCTGATAGCCTATGATTGACTCTTCCAATAATTTCTTCATAGTGTTTCTTTGTTACCCGCCCATGTTTCATCCAAGCTCCAAGATATCTACCCATGTTCCTAACTCTTTTAAAACCACTCAGATCAGCAATTTTAGAAGCCAGCCCATCATCAATATTCTTGGAGAAATAAATACAGCTCTTCTGCACATTGATTTTCTGACCAGATGCCTCTTCAAATAAATGCAAACATCTCATCAAAATTTGAATTTGATCCTCACTAGCTTCAGCAAACAACATGAGATCATCAGCAAACATCAGATTTGATATAGGAGGACCCCTTTACCAGCTCTCATTGGCTTCCAAATATTACCTCTAACAGCAATCTCAATAATATGAGATAATTTCTCCATACCCAGAACAAATAAATAAGGAGACATAGGGTCACCTTAACGGATACCCCTAGATGGCTGAAATTCCTTTGTCACCCGTTGCAACTGCCTTTGTAAATCAGCTTCAAGGTTTTTAAGATGAAGAGAGTTCCTAGTAAACAACTAATCCTGAATAGAACTAATTATTTTCAAGATTCTATCTTTTTTCAGATTGATGTCACCAAAAAACTTTCTGTTCCAGCTCTTAAATCTAGGAATAAATCTTTGAAACATACAAGGCATATCAAAGGTGGTAATTTACTATATCATTTTATATATTTTTCGAATTTTGTGCTAGTTTTTTTTTTTTTTTTAAGTGTGGATTACAGATATCTATCTCACACACATGAGATAATTATCTCAAATAACATGAGATTAATAACTCCCGTATTAATATGCATTAGTTGTTTTTCAACTATAAAATTTAAACCTAACTTATTTATCTAATTTAGGTTTTTTTTTCAAGGGTACGATCAGACCATTTTTATAATTTAGTCTAATGTGAAAGTCTATTTAAATCTTCAGACCAACTATAAAATCTGTCATTTTTTTTTTGGTAGTCAGAAACTGTCAAATTTACTGTTAAACATGTTAACGAACTCAAACTTTTATGTTGATCAATAGTTTAATTCATCAAATTAAACAATAAATATACGATTGCAAAACATTATTGTACAAAATTAATAATAATAATAATAATAATATACTTAAATAGCACAGACAATTGGGTTTGAAAATTTTTCTTAGATAGCTTAAAGTTTATCCCTTTTAGCTTGATATGTTTTGGAAAAAAAAATTATTTGACAAACATATCCAGTCTCATAGGGTTAGGCTGTAATCCTTTGACATGTCACCTGATTTATTCTAATTAAATACGTTTGGATTACTAGATTTTGCAACTTAGTTTTTTAAACTTGCCTTTCTCAAGAAGTAAGTTTATAGGTAGTGATTTGTGCGTGGAATTTTTTTTATCATAAACCTGATTTTGATAATTAAAAAAAACCAATGTTTAAATATGGAGGAATGTTATATTTACAAATTCTTACAAACTATACTATGTCTGACCAGTCATCATTCAATCAAGAGTATATGACTGATCAGATTTAATGTAATTTGTAAAAAAAATTTATAAACGGATGCTTACCCTTAAATAAGTTGGTAAAAAATAAAGATGTCATTGATATAAATATATACAGATTCTGTTAAAGAGCAATATAATAACATTAAATTTTATATTTTAGGTTAAAGGAAACAAATTCTTTATTACTTAAATAAAGGTTATTGTTATAAAAATATTTTTATGAATAGACTTAAAAATAATTTTTTCTTTATTGTAAAAGTAATAAAGTAGTATTTTTAGCTAGGGTTGATCAATTAAACCATAATTTTGATACAAAATTAATTCTCTTTTAAATTACCGAATAAGTTAATGGGATATGATATTATGCATATATTTTTTCATGTATATATTTTACTTATTAATATGTTAGATCATAATCTCAACTTACCCTTATTATTTATCTCTTTTTTGTCTTCTTTAGATTGTGATATAATGATATTAAAAAAAATAGATAGAATTAATACACATAATATCGTATGCCATATATTAATACACATTCCAAATCATGTTGGGAGCTTCTGCATGTTTTATAAGACCTACCCAAACCTGCCCTAATTTTATTTATTAGGATATATAATTGTTTACCTACTCATCCTGTACAGGCCTAATACTTCTCTTTAACTCAAATGGCAAAATATTTTCTTTTTTATGTTTTTTTTCTCAATATTGTTAGATTATAATTTCAATCAATTTTTATCTTTTCTCTCACTTTTTGAGTTTATAACGTAATAATATTTGAAAGAAGGAAATAAAATAAATATGAATATATATATATATATATATATATATATATATATATATATATATATATAATATCTTGTCCAAGACATTATTACGACAAAGAAATAATATGTTTTATCTTTTACTAACCTTGATAAATTTAAGTAGATAAAGTTCTGTTGTAGATTTATGAAAGGGTTCCAACTTCAGAACACTGATCAAAATGTCACTGTTCACCAATATTTTTATCTAAATGTCACGCGAACAGTGTTATTTCCTAATATATCACGGGGGCAAGTTCGCTACCTTGTGTAGCGAACTCAGTTTGCTGACGTGTCACATTTTTAATGGATAACAAGTATCAAATTTAAAAAAATAATAATAAAAAAAAAATGAAGGTCGCCTACCATGTAGGCGAACTTGGTTAAAATCAAGTTGGTGTCCACTAGAAACGTGACACGTCAGCAAACCGAGTTCGCTACACCGGGTAGCGAACTTGCCCCCGTGACAGATTGGAAAATAACACTGTTCGCGTAACATTTAGGTAAAAAAATTGGTGAACAGTAACATTTTTATCACTGTTCCTCCAACTTCTCCTTTTATCGTACTAGAGATTTTTTTGTGGCATTGCAGCAATTAATTAATATTATATTATATTAGTAAGATATAGTTATAATCTTAAAAAAAAATTTCTTTGTCACCTTAGCCAACAATTTTCTTGAAAAAAAAATAGTTTATAAAATTATAATTATATTTTATCCATAAGATATAATGTTAATTAGTTGTTGCAAAAAAATTTCTCCCATCAAATTTTGATGAAGTACATTTCCCTTTATGAAAATAGATACAAAAGATTCAAATCCGTCTAGCTACCATCCTAGCTTTAATGACAACCATCTCAACTTTAAATACGGAAGTACCAGCCAGTTTTGGCACTTCTCCACATATTATCAACTTGTAGAATTCAAACCCAACCAAAGCCACTGTGTCCGAGTGAAAAAAAACCTAAGAAAAATTTGAAGCATCAGAAAATGAAAGTTCAGTCCTTGTGTTTGTGCCTCTTTATGTTGGTGCTCGGTGGCTCCGAAGCTGGCACGGTCAACGGAACAGGAGATTTGGCGGCTAAGTGCAACCAATTGGTTCAGAATGTGATTCCCTGTTTGAACTTTGCGACGGGCAATGCGGCGGTTCCGACAAAAGATTGTTGCGACGCTTCGTCGAAAATAAAGGACAGAGATCCTGAGTGCTTGTGCTACTTAATCCAGCAGACCCATAAGGGTAGCCCAGAGGTGAAAAGCATGGGTATTCAAGAAACTAGGCTCCTTCAACTCCCTACTGCTTGTAACATGAAGAATGCCAGCACCACCCACTGTCCTAGTAAGTACATTTATCATTATTCAAAATTTCTATACTACATAATTAGGTAAGAGTGATGTATTAAAAATGAGATAGGATCCGTTTACAAACTTTTTTTTTGCAAATTACATTAAGTGCAACCGGTCGTATACTTCATGATTAAAGTATGACCAATCGTTCTTGGTGTAATTTGTAAAAATTTGTCAACAAAAAAATTTGTAAATATAACCTCACCCATTAAAAATATGTAAAAATATCAATTTTCAATTAAAAAACCAAACATTAGAACGTTTATCTACTTTGGTACGAGGATGCTCCTGCTAACGCTTGCTAATATTTTCTAATTAAATAAGAACGCGTGTTTTATATGTGCTTTATTTGTTTGCTTTTATGTTATGATGATCAGTGACAACCCTTGTATATGTTCAATTGAAAACTAATTGTAAAATCACCTATTGTGAATTATTAGTCATGATTTGGTTCAAATCTTTATAAAAATAAACTTCAAGTGTAAATATGAATATTTGTATGTTACATGATTAGTTTGAATATGAAAATTGTCTTAATGTAATTATTTCTTCTTCTTTTTTGTGTTTTTTTTGGTCAAGGCTGATTTATTCGAGTCAAATGAGATTTTTCTTGATATGAATTGCTAAAAAGTGCATGTTCATGGAAAAGAAAGAAAAACAGGTATTCCTACTTGGCAGGAGCGGCTGAAACCTATTGGATGTCTAAAGCCAAATTGTAAAATAAGAAGTTATTAACAATGGAGGTAAAAATTTAAGGAGGGAGGGAGGGAGGGAGAGAGAGAGAGAGAGAGTGTGTGTTATTGATTAAGAAAGTTAATTTTTAAGGTAAAATTTACCATTGAAAAAACTATTAGCTATTTAACATTTAGTAAACAATAACTTATTCGGATAAATAAATGAGAAATTTTTTTGTGAAGGGTAATTATTAAGTGATCCTGTAAAATTTTAATATGAAATGATTCATTAGGTAGAGATAAAAGATGACATTTTAACCATTTTGCCCTTCATTAATTATTTAATAATCATTTTGTCCCTGATCGGAAACTATTTATCAATCTGTCCCTCTTTAATCGACTAAGCCAAAAATTTAATCAACTAAATGATCGAACGAAGATTTAGTCGATTAAATCTTCAACTTAATCGACTAAATCTACTTCTTTATCAGAAGAACAACCTTGTGTATGGGAGATTTAGTCGATTAAATAGGGAGATTTAATCGACTAAATCTTCGTTCGATCATTTAGTCGATTAAATTTTTGGCTTAGTCGATTAAAGAGGGGCAGATTGGTAGATAGTTTTCAATCAGGGACAAAATAGTTATTAAATAATTAATTAGGGGGAAAATGGTTAAAAAACCGATAAAAGATAATAAAAGAATTTTTCTACGCATCAATAGAAAGAGTAAAGAGCATGTGGCTTTTTATTAATTATAATAATTAATTATTATTTTAAGTGATTTTTCATATAAGTTATACATTTACAAAAGGAATATATATAAACATGGGTTTTATTAATCTCCTTTTGCATAAGATGGGTATCTTATGTTGTAGAGAGAAACTGGGTGGGTCCCACAATTACAAGAAAAAAGAAAAAGAAAAAAAAAGTGAGGTGCGAAAATCGAAGTGAGAGAAAATGAGATAAGTTACCCCATGTAAAAGGAGAGTAATATTTCCCTATAAACATACTAGAAATATGAAATTCAATGTACTATAACATTTACAAAATTTATTAATGCATGTTTAATATATTTAATTTTGAATTTAAATGAACTTATAATAAAAAAATAATATTTTTTGAATTTTGTTTTACAATTTATTAAAACTAACAAACGACATATGATTTGAATGTGAACAGAGCTTCTGGGTCTATCTCCAAACTCCCCAGACGCTGCAATCTTTATGAATGCTTCGTTGGGAACTGCTACGGCTTCAACCGTGGGAACTACAACACCGAATTCTAAGGACTCTTTCGGAAGCAAGCTTAGACCTCCTCTCATTGCAGTGGCTTGGTCTATTCTTCTAGTCATGATTCCAACTGGGCTTGTCAGCATTTACTCATGATGGATGTGTTGAATGACTCCACATAACAATAGCAATTAATGAAGTTAGTGGGGGGTTGTTGTTTTGCTGTAATATCTATGTACTGTGTTGAACTTTGCAGATTGCATCAGTGAATTGATTTGACCTGTCATGTTGTCTCGAGTATTGGGACATTGCTTCATGTTGTTTTTAATGGCCCATCAAGGGTTACACCAACCTTACAGAAGGATTTTCTTTGATAACCTGCTACCCTCTTTCGTGACTTCCTATGTATGTAAACGATTTCCTTTTTCGTTGTGCCTTTAGAACTGTCGGATTGATGACTAGTCTTGAGGTTCAAAGTCCCTTACCTACAAATAGTTTCTTATAGGCTATAGCAATGTTTGGATGAGATTTTTTCCTCAAGTGTTTTTTTATAAAAAAAATTTCCTTATAAATGACTGTTGCATATCGTGTTTTTTTTTTTAAAAAAAAAAGTTACAATTTTATTTTTTTAAGCTGATTTTTTTTATTTCTAAAATAAAAATAAGAGTTAAAATTAAAATAAAATATTTTTCTCAAAATTTAAATTTGTCCCAATTCTACTGCTGTCGTTGTCATCATTACCATGCTGCCATCTTTTCTTATCCATCACCAAATTAAATCTTGCTTTCATAATTTATTTTCATAAAGAATATTTTTTTGATTTTAATATTTAAACAATTTTTTTAGTTATTTTTTTTTTCACTTACTACATTTAAATTCAAAATAATTTGAAGTTTTTTAAAAAATTATTCTAAGAAAAATAAGGTTTTTTTTTTTTTTAAAAAAAAAACTCATCGAAATGGACCCTTAGCCTTAGATTTTAATATCTATGTGGAAAAGATTGTATAGGTTATATACTATTAATTGGTTAAAATAGATGCACAAAGAAAGGCTGTGCAAATTCTTCACAGAAAAAAGGAATTTGGGAGTGATATAACACGAGGTAAATTTATCTTTAACAACTTCAAAACCGAGTTGAGGAAATTAACAAAAGGTTTTGTTAAAATTCATATAGATAAAGTGTGAACCCAAGGGAAGGAGCAGAGTATGTGAATTGGACACTTGTTGATGGTGATACCAATGTATATAACGTGAGAATGAAAACTTGTAGTTCAACTATAACCAGTTTGATTGTCCTTTACCACTTATGCTGTATACTTGTTGCTATTTTATTACAAATTACCATTACAATTGAAGCTAAACTTATGTTATAAATTGTTTGAATTCCTTATCACTAAACTAATTTTAATAGTATAGAGTTAAAAGCTAAATCGGGTCCGTTTGGTGCACTAAGAGAAATAAAATATGAGATAGGATATTGTGACACCCAAGTTATGTTACACCCATGTGACACCCAGCCAATCTCACCGTTAGATCGCTTATGTTAATCCAACGGTTATATTTATTTCCATCTTTGTATGGTCACGATTTCCCAAATTTAAAGTGAAAGCATTAAATATGAGAAATCATAACCATACAAAGGTAGAAATAAATATAAAATATTAAATTTGGGAAATCATGACCATACAAAGATGGAAATAAATATAACCGTTGGATCAACATAAGCGATCTAACGGTGAGATTGACTGGGTGTCACATGGGTGTAATATAACTTGGGTGTCACAATATCTTATTCCTTGTTTTTATCTTATTCTGTCTATCAAAGGAGCCCTAAAAGTTAAAAGTTATTTTTAAGATAAAACTAAAAACAAAAATTTAAAAATAATTATATAAATTTTTTAGCTTAAAAACTTAAATTAAAAATAAATTGATACAATTTTAAAAATACTCATTCTAGATGCTTTTCACTTTTTATTATTATTATAAACTTTTGTGTAATAATGTATTTAGCTTAACTTTTGTTTATAAGAAGAGAAAATGAAAAAAAAATCTCCCTAACTACTAAGTTATGGCAAATTCAGAGTCGAGTTATGTGGGATCTACTAGATAGTCAAAACTTTTAATTTTTTTTCACGAGATTCAAATCCAAAACATTATTTATTTAAGAAAAACCAAACTTATTACTAATATTTATAAAAATGAGTGTTTTTCTGTTTCTCTTAAAAAAAAAGACTTTTGAAAGGGTTGGGTTGGAAACTTGGAATGTTGGACTCTGCATATGCTTAAAGAAGACTATTAATTGTAAAGGTTAGTGGGTTTTCCCGTTCTACTGAAACGTCAAAGTCACCGAAGATTTTGGGCATTCCATAACCATTACAATCACTGCACGTCCTTATGTCGCAGGTAAACGCATTCGCATTCCTCATTTAACCCTAATTTAATCACCTATTTGATCTTCATTGATCTCAATTCTTCAAGGTTTAGGTTTTTTTTCCCCCCGATACTTTCTCTTTTGTAATCTCGGTCGCTTTCCCTTTCCAACGAATGAGTTTTTGGTTACAATTTGTGATTTGTATTAAACCGATTTGATTAGTGTTGAAGCTATTTGATTAGCTTTGATGCAATTGTTATTCTGATTTTGAAATGGAACGAATTAGGCTAATCTTAGCCACCCATTCAATTACCAGAATGCAAGGATAACGTTTTATTTTGTCCATTTTTGTTCTGCAGGTTCATAACAGAAACTCTTCAGCGTCCAAGCGTGCTAGAACCGATGGTAACCGTCGCTATTTTCTTAATTTTCTGATGTTTGCGGATACTTGATGATTGCTCTTACTCTTAATTACCATGCACTGATCCCTAAAACTCTGGGGGTTCTCACATGATTCTGAGGTGCATTTCAATTGTATTTGTTTTTGCTTGTAGGTAGTCGAAGGGATGATGACTGGACATGCCCTAGCTGTGGCAATGTCAATTTCTCTTTCAGGACAACCTGCAATATGCGTAATTGCACTCAACCGAGGCCGGCAGATCATAATTCGGTAAGATATTATATGAAAATGTCGTATTCTGTTGCTTAAAATATGATTTGCATTTTGCAAATGATTTTTAAAAGGTGTTATCAATAGCCTTGTTATCTCCCAGTATTTCTTTAATAATTTTTTTATTGTTCTTGTTCTGTGTTATTTAAATGCCTAGCTTCTATTCATTCCTGTTTCCTCACAGTCCTTTTAAAATGGAGGGGGAAATAGAGGATGTGGAAATGAAATTTTTATGTATGCATAACAGAGGCTGGACATATGATAAATTTTGTGCATTTCCTGATGCATTTGGTATTTTATACTCAATGAGTCTTAATTAATGCAATTTAACTGGGTAAGTATGTGCTTTCCTTTAAAGCATGGTTATCAAATGATGGTAGCGGCCGACCCCAAAAACTCTATAGTGCTATAGCGGTAGAGCGCAATAGCGGAGTCCAACACACTGATTTTATGTGTCACAGGGATCACAACCTTAAACCACAGAACAAGAAAAATGAAAAAAAAAACAGTACCATAAAAAAATAAAAGATAGTAAAGAAACATGTTTCTCAAAGAAGTGAATGTAACATAGTGTTAACAAGTTAAAGGGTGTTTTTGGTTAAAAACCTAACACACTGTTTCTGGTTAAGATTAATAAGTTAAGGGTGTTAGTGTAACCACAAACAAAAAAACTAAAAATAAAAAAGAACAGAACAGAGAGATGAGAGACAAAGGGAGAACAGAGAACAGAACAAAAAATCACCGTGGCCATTGAGGCCTCTGGTCGCAGGTTCAGGTCTCAGATGAGAGAGAAAGCTACAAGAGAGAGAGAGAGAGAGAGGGTGTCTGAATTGGTTCAGAATACTTAAGGGTTAATAAACTAAAAAACCCTTAAAATATGTCTGTTACGAATTTAAATTGTAGGCAAATATGAAATCTTCTCCCCTTTTTTCTGTAATTGCCTTGATTTGCTGCAAAATGACCGCAAACACGAGGAGACGTGTCGCATCGCATCCTATAGCCGCGAGGACCCGCAACATGCTATTTTAGCGCAATAGCGCCTCGAAAGCGTGCTATTGATAACTCTGCTTTAAAGCTATTCTTATCGTGAAACATCAAAGTATGCATAACGGAGGCTGAACATATGATAAATATTTTGCATTTCCTGATGAATTTGGTATTGTATACTCAATGAGTATTGATTAATGCAATTTTACTGGGTAAGTGTGCTTTACTATAAAGCTATTCTTATTGTGAAATATCAAAGTATTTGTCAATCTCTTTCCAGAAGTCTGCTATCAAGCCTCTACAAGCTCCGCAGGCGCAGGGTTATTCTTCCTCAGCACCTTATGTAGTAGGACTAGGATCTAATACCCCCTCTTCTATTTATCTTGCTGTACCACCATATGGTTCTGCCGTATTCAATGGGTCATCTATCCCTCCTTATGATATTCCTTTTTCTGGAAGATCAGCATATCATTATGATTATGGAAGTCGCCTCTCTGTTGGCAGTCCTTATAGACCACTGCATTTATCTGGACAAATGCCATACACAAGTGGATCGATGATGGGAAATGGTATGTTATGCATTTATCGTCTTATCTAAAAATTGGCCTTTTTTACAAATTAAATAAGGAAACGAGTATTGGGGGAAAATAAATTAGCAATTAAAAATGCCTGCTTGTATTCATTATTTTTTATCCAGTGCTATTATCGTTGTCATTTCTGTATGGAAAAAGCTACTTTAAAGTGAGCTTGTTGTAAAGTGCACAAGGTTGTATTCACCTTTGAATTTTAGTGGGTTAAGATCACAATGCACTTAAAAATAATTTGAGGGTGGATACTGGATATACCTTGTGCACTTTACATACAAGCTTACTCTAGAGAAGTTTTATCCTTATGTAATATTATTTTTTTGTTGATATACTCTTATACAGTTCATGTAACTTCCGTTGCTGCGAATACTTTTATAGGTGGGATGTATGCATTGCATCCAGTAGTGGACCGGTATGGCCTGGGTATGCCTATTGGACCTGGAACTATGGTATGATCTAAAATATTAAACTCAACTGTTCCAAAATTGTGTAATTCCTGGATGATACATGCTGCATTTTTTATTTGTATTTTTATGATACATGCTTTATTTTTTTACTGCATTGTTGTTTCTTGACATTTTCACATGATGAATCCTCAATTGATATGTTTTGCGGTTTGTTTTGTTCATATTAACTAAAATGATATAGTATATGCGAGATACTTTCTTTTTTGTGTAACTACAGACTTGTCAAACTGCATTTAAATTTTGCATCATTACAGGACATTAATTAGGCATTGATATGCACATTTTCACCTCGTTCAAAGTTGCATTTGGATACAATCCCTTAATGAGTTGAAGAAGCTACAATTCGTCAAAATTGTGTAATGTACTTGATTTATTCTGAGGTTGAAGTTAATAGTTAATATTTATTTGAGCAGGGCCCAACGCCAGGATTTTTTCCTGAAGACATGTCTCAGAAAAAGGACATAGGTTTGTCATATTTAGCTATTGTATGTTTTGATTGAAATGGATTTTATTAACCTAGTCTTGTTTACCCCCGACTCCTACTTTTCCATATAGATACAGCTCGTGACAATGACTGGACATGTCCCAAATGTGGCAATATCAACTTCTCATTCAGAACTGTCTGCAACATGAGAAAGTGCAACACACCAAAGCCTGGATCCCAGGTTTGATGCCTTTATATCTTTGTGTACATTGATAATAATTTATATTTAGCATTGCTTGATATGAATATTATGCTGCAGGTCTCAAAATCTGACAAAAATTCTAGTAAGTGGCATTGCATATCTTCTGACTTTCTTTGCTTATTTGAAGCAATTATCTGATCTAGTACAGAGCATCAGTTGGTAATTATGCTTCTTTCTTCCTACTTGTCATTCAGAGCAAAAGACTCCTGAGGGAAGCTGGAAGTGTGAAAAATGTAATAATATAAACTATCCATTCAGAACCAAGTGCAACAGACAGAACTGTGGTGCGGAAAAGCCGTCAGATTCAAGTACATCTCCTTCATCTGCTTCAGATCAAAATGATCAGGTTTGTTGTTGGGTAAAATGTTTCTGTTTTGATTGCACGCATTGCTCGTTGCAACTGTTGTTGATTTTTCAGCTCTTTGTATACGTAGTAGACCTCATAAAAGCCAAGATGCTGCAGAGTTGTCTAAAGTGGATTCATTGGAAAAGTTTCACTTACGCTTCCTTTCATTTGGATCCTAATACAACTTACAGCTATACATTTTTAATTTCCCTCATATTTCTCCATTGCATCCTTTGATTTGCAATTATTTACTGTTCCAGTGAGTACTAGGACATGTTTGAGGGTTGAGAAGGTCCAGAGTTGTCGTTCAGCATTGCTCAATTTGGGTGTCTGACAGTCAGTCTTGTCGTCCTCTATGTTGCAGCAGTTGTCAAGTCACTCCCCTTCTCATTATCTGTGTCAATTGTACTGAGATGGTAATGGTCTTTGTGAATCGTTATGATGCATGTGTCAGCCAGCTTACCCTGGCGAAGATTTTACTGGGTACCCTATATTCTCAGAATCAACTCAATTATTCCAGTGGTATACTATCATAGATTCATATGAATTTAGATGAGGTACCAGTGGCAGGAATTGTATGTTTTCGTTTCTAGCTTTCTTTTGGCTATTAACTGTCTGTTCAAGTATCTTTGGATGATTAGATGACTCAAAAGTATGTAAAGATTTCAAGTTTTTAGATAATTGAGGTTGTCACATTTTTAGTATTGGGTAGTTATGGTGTCTTCTGTCTGCTAGCTAGCCTACTATCCTCAAGGACGTAAAGGCCATTTTCCTTCGTGTCAGTGCTTGTGGCAGGGTGGATGGTTCATGTCAGGTCATTGGGTTTGATGTTGAAATAGATTGTTTTTGTTCGATCATAGATTTGTTTTTAGGATTATTTAAAATAGCACCCCCTGCTGATAACATTAGTCTTCGGAGTCATCTACTGGAGCCTGATTGCTTCTTGCTTTAAAAGCCAAGTGGCATTCTCATTCTTGTGGACCAGGTCTAGCATATGGCCATCATAACCAATGACGGTCGTTGGTAATATAGTAGTTTAAGATGTTATTAGAACGTAAAGGATTTTGTCTTAAAACACTTGACTAGTGTTTCCTTATTATAGGATTTACTTTTGTAGGAAAATTTTGCGCTGCGGATGCTATGTTTATATCATCTTAGTCTTTTATTTTTTTTGGTGAAGTCTTTTATTTTTTGTTTGTGCCCATTTATGCATATAGATCACAACCATGTGACGATTTATGGAGCGTTTGGAGCATGATGCTCCCTCCCAAAAGTGAAAAATAAAAGGGGATTGAGAGGAAAATATAACAAAAGAGAAGTTTTTTACCAAAAAAGAAAAAGGAGCATAAAAAATTTGATAGTCCCGGTGTATATTAAAAATTTTCTTATGTTAGATGTTGGGTTTCATGCATCGAGATATGTGTAAGGGATTTGCCACCATTGAGGAAATAAAACGATGCTTAATATGGAGAAGACGATTGGAACATGTTTGAAAACAACGATTAAACCAGTTTTGTCGATCTCATTTTTTGTTTCAATGTCTATCCCCTTTCAACAAATTACTATCAGAAATTCCGTCCAAAATTTGATTTGTTGGAATACGTGCATGTGGACGTCAAACGGAGTGGCAAGTGCATGTCCTCCAGAGCACAGCTCCATGCTAATTTGAACTTACTTCTACAATAATATCTACGTTTTACCGATGTATTTAAGATTTCATCATTTCAAATGATGAAATCTAGGTGTAATTATAGTTCAATAAAAATGTACTTCATTAAAAGAATTTTGCACTACGATTTAAACTTTATTTCTGTTCGAATTAGTTGTATCTTTAAATTTGATTTATAAGTTTCATTTTCAAGATTAATTTAAATTTCTTTTGGTATTTCTATACTCTCAATTTGCATCATTACTATCACTTGGGTTATATTTATTCCTTTTTCAATAAAGTAACACTTTAATCCTAGCTTATCAGCAGTAAAAATATTAAATTAGATTTGCGTCTTCGGATACTTAAATCTGATGTTCTCACATATATTGTTTTAGTGATTGACAAAATCAAAATCGCAGATTATAAATATTGACTGCTGGGAATTTTTGTAGTTGATTAATCTTTTGGTCGGAATCCGGTTTTAAGTATTTCATTTTGTTAAATAATCTAAATTGATGATAAAAAATATACAAAAGTAAACTATTAAGGAACACGCTCAAGTTTTATTGTAAAATTAGGCAATTATAATGATGGTTTTTTATATATAAATAAAGGAAGATTATATCTATAATTCTTTTTTCTTGTTGAATCAAAATTAAATTAATGATTGTAAAATTAAATCGAATAAAAGCTGTTAAATTGATTTTGATCTAATAATTACAAAATGATTATAAGAAGTAATAAGGAAAAAAATTGCAAGTATAACATATTTCATATAATAATTATAAGAATAGTGGACAACTAATTTTTTTTTCCAAGATATCTTCACACATTTTAAATTTAAAACTAGTTCTTCTGAGCACATAATAATACGGTTAGGTAACTAATTTGATTATAAACAAGAAATTATTTAATTAAAGATCTTTTCAAAAAGTTAAGTAAATAAGTTACAAATCCGCAATAAACATAGAGTGAAAATTAACCCATCCATAAAATTTTACCATATTAATTTGTCACTTACCATTCTGTCTACACAACATATTCTCAGAATAGTCTCGTGCTTGTAGCATATTCGGATGGTTGCAAACTATAAACCTGCGAAGTTAAAGACAATTACAGTCAGTACATTTTATCACGAAAGAATTACGAGTAATAAATAAAAAATGTACCTATATATGACAAACAAATATTAAAGTTAAAATTAATTACTTAAAACAAAATAATTATTAAATTTAAATTGTAAGGAATTTTGTGGGTTTGATAGCAATATTTCAATAATAAAAATATGGGAGGTTGCTCAGAAGGGTAATTAAGCAGATGGAAAGTCGTTAGTTATTGCATTTCTCTGTCATATCCGACAACATTTTTTGTTTTAAGTTCAATTGTTCTTTTGAGAACTTCTTTTTATTGAGTTTTCATTAAAAAAAAAAAATTACACGGTCGTTAATTAACCTTCATCCCGAAAATGTTGTTAGCCAAATAGGATGCAAAAATATTTCTAGACCTGATTTCCATTTCTATATGATAACAAAAGGAAGAAAACATGGAAAATAAACAAAGCCATTGCAACAATAAATTAGGCACTACAAATCAAGAAATCACGAGATGGAACTAACCTTATATGTAAATTCATCAGGTTGAAACTATTAAGTATGAGAGCATTCATGTTTAATCCAACTGGTCGTAAGGAAAACCAGATTCATAAGGTTCTCTGAACAGTTGAAATTCGTGAAAGCGATTGTTGTCATCACAGTTTGAGTACGAGATCCACATGCTGGAATTGTCTTGTGGATCTGCATGCCAACAGTCGGATGAAGCAAGAGGTAAACGCTGACTCATTGCATGTGTTATGGTCTGAGCGGTACTAGTTGTGTGATTGGAGTGTTCTATTGAAATGGACTTAGTCTCATATGAACCCCATGAATTGGTTGACAGAAGAGAGAGAGCACGGTGAAAATCTTGTGTAGCATTTGGATCAGTGAAGGTAATGGAATCTTCCACACCTGCAAAAGAGGTATTCTACCAAATGAATAATATTGTGGCAAAAAAGTGGCAATGATTAGCAGTTTTGAGATGGAGTTAGAAATGAATGTGGCCAAATCAATCATATTATGTCTACCTAAATTTAATGCAAAATCATGAGGCTCAATTATTAAAAAGATGTTAAACAACCTGCTGGATTAACAATCTTGGTTGCAAGGCCTTTGGATGTAAAATGGGCATTGGAGTCATCAGAAAACATAGTGACAATATTTGGTATCTCATTATTGGCTTTTGCAGGATTCCTGAGAAAATCTTTTGTCTGGGGGAGGTTGTTGCTGTGTATGTCTTGCCAGGTTAAATTAGTAGCAGTCCTTGGATAAGCGAATGGACTCATTTGTTGCCTCCCATCTGCAGAATAAAGATATATTAGAAGATAGAAGGGAATAGTAAAACTCGCATCATCATGATGAAATGAATGACTGAGGATTAGCTACACTCTACCAATTAACTAGAAAATCCAAGATTGGATTTACTTATGTTTAAGTTTTGACACGCAGCAAAATTTGAAGTTGTGTTTCTATTAAATCAGGTTTGTTCAGGAGTCTCATACTCATACAAGATTAAATCACGTTAGTACAATGTCAACCCTCAAGTCCAACCAACCATGATACTTGCTTGTATATGGCTATTATTACAGTTGCTACAAACTTTACTCTCTATTCATATAGCACATGCCTTGTTTCACTCAAGGGCTACCCTTTCCTCAAGACTTTGGCAGTTAACCGTGTCTTGTACCTTTAACTACATCCACACCTATAATAGTAACATCCCTTCCTCTCTTTTTTTTTTTTTTTTTGTATATAGATCATAATTATCTCTTTAAAGCAAGTAGGCCCCTCAGGTATCCCCACAAATTTTAACTTTTTGAACTGACTATGAGATTAATCCCTAGTTGGCGCTTAATCACAATTAAAGTTCTTCGCCCCTCTCCAAAGATGTATTTGGCGGGAATCGAATTTAGATTCTCCCCCATCTACTCAGCCTGTGTTGCCAACTGAGCTACACCCATTGGGTTCGTAACATCCCTTGTGACAATATTAAATGATTGAACAACTAAAACATTTAGACTAATATATTAAAAGTAAACTGCAAACTAAGTTGAAGACCAAGACAACACAAATAGATTTTCCATGGGAAAGGGACATTACAGAGCTTGAAGAGTTATACCAGAGGGTGAGGAAGACAAAGCTGATTGACTTAATTGGATGGCTTCAGGGTGAGGTTTACGGCGCCTTGCATTGTGATCTGAAAGACGTCGTCTGCAGCTTCTCTTTTTTTCATCAAACTCTGACAGACCATGGAACCTTCAACATTATAAGCAAAATGAAAATTTTTAACCAACTTGTTCAATACGAGCCAAAAAGACATGAAGCTGAATCAGATTGAATAATCTTAGTTCTCAATGATTTGTTATTGAGAATTGATCAAATACTTGAAAAACATTATTACGTATCAATGTCATTTGTTAAAAAGATTTACCTGCTACATTGCTGGCAAAATCGAAGTTCCAAACCAGCTATAACCACCTTAGGGGATTTGGAATGACTTTCACAAACTCTATGTCTGCGATGGTAATCTTTAGCTGATGAAAGGTCAAGGCCGCAGCCTTCAACCTGGCAGCATGGATATGGTAAGTTCTGACCTTTGGACTTACATTTCTTTCCTGAACTTAAAGATGACATGGGAGCCCCAGAGAAAGATAGGTTCTTGGAACCACTTCCGGGGCAAATATCCTCAAAGTAAAACCGTTTACCTAGCTTTAGAGTGAGCAATGGTTCACCAGTGACAGAAAAGGGTTCTAGAGCATGAGAAGCTTCAACTGGTTCTTCTTTAGATAATTCTTTTTTGCCACTGGAATCATCTTGGGAACTTTCAAAAGTGAACATAGATGTTTTACTATCCCTATTTGATGACGAATTGATGGAAGCTGATTTCGAGCTCCTTGATGAAGAAGCGTGTACTAGCTCAGACTCAGAACAACCACTGCCACCAGATGTATCGAACAACCCCATTTTGATTTCTTGGTTTGCTTCACCACTCCAGTTTGGTGGTTGTAATTTGGGATTTTCTGTTGCTCTTGAGTTTAAGAAGAATAGGTGCTCCCAGTCCCACTGGGAGGAAGACTTTGCATTCCACTCCATCAGAGGAGCTCAGATATTCAATAATCTGCAAACTACAATTCAAATGAAATTGCCACTGTTTTAGTTTCTCTAGAAGCAAGATAAGTAAAACAAGCTCTTATAGACATTTACCAAGCCAAAGAAACCACACAGAAAACTGGATTAATGATTCGCAAAAACCAAAAGGCACCAAGAATATCTGTATGTATTCAGTAGAGAAACCATAAAAAGACACACATATTAAGAATACTAGTGACATCTATAAAGTGTGAAACTGCCACAAATTTCAAAATAATCAACGTATATTACTTATTGCTAAAGGCAAATTCGATTAATCTTACAAAGACCATAACAAATCAACATTGTTCTGCAAATCCCATCCATGAGTTGACAGGCAGATAGGCGGCTGTGTTTAGTGGTAAAAGTTCCCTAGGTTATATCATTCAGTCCCCACCATTTACCACAAATTTAGTCATTTATCTATCGTACTGGTAAATTTTAATTGCACCCCAACTTCCCACCCAGTCAATCTGCACTACTAGTATTTTCAAAATCTAGACTCCACTACCATTTACAAGGGCAGCATTTTGCAATTCATTCATCTCATTCCTTAAACTATACCTGCAAGGGATTCTCCTATAGATGTGATGTGTTTTATTTCTTCCTGCAAGTTACCAAAACTTCCCTTTCAACATTGGAAGCTTGAATTCCAATAATTCATATTAATCACAGCAATGTCAGAAGTAGTCGGTCATTGAATGAGACCCCACAACAAACAACCCAATATATGATAAAATATAGACATACCATAATTTCCAACTACAAAAACATTAGCATCAGAGCCAATGTTAGGCCTTGGTTTTCTTTCAGAATTAAGGGCAAAAACCCTCCATAGTCATAAATACCGGAAACCAATCAATCTAGATCCCAAAAACAAATACAATAATAACATGATTTACATCGAATGCTGCATGATGGGTCCCAGGAAAATGACCTATCATAGTTTGCGTTTGCTGTGAGTAACTGAGTATGACCCGTATCCGTCATTCAACTATTCTAAAACTATTAACTAAGAAAGCAGAGAGGGTAATTATTCCAATCAAATTCTTAATACACTAAAAACAAACACATGTTGTACCAAAAAAAAAAAAAACAAACAAACAAACACATGAACTTAATTTAAAAAAAGAAAACTAGATTTCAGACTTTTGGTGATAAAGTTGTAAGATGTAATGGAAGACAATGAATTAGGTTAATATTTGCTAAGCACATACACAGATGTAGATAGAAGGAGAAAAAACTTTCATGAAAACCTAGCAAGATGCTTTAAGATGATAAACCCAAAAAGGGTTAAACAGATAGAGGAAGAAAAAGTGGATGAACAAATAAATTAAAAAAAGGAAAAAAAAAAACACTTTTTCTCCCTACAAGCATAAAAGTACAGGCTTTACTTACATTATTGTCCCAGTATTAGGAAAAAGGAAGTTGCAATCTGACTCTACCACAAAGGGAAACAATCAGTGCAAAAGTAACACCAGCAGAGCAGACAGGTACCCATAGTAATCATCACATGTAATAATATTACTTAATAGTATCTCTATAAATAAACTGTGCCAAAAATATAAATAACAACAACCATCATCATTTTACAAAGGTTAGAAAAAGACAGCATACAAGGATATGAAAATAAAAGTGGGAGATAAAAAGAGTTTTCTAATCCATTGAAAAGTGGATCCCTTCTCCTGATTTTGAAAAATTGAATTAAAAAAAAAAAAAGAACAAAGAATGAAATGGTAAAAAGAGGAGGAGGAGGAGGCAGGCACTAACATTGTCAGGGGACAGGTGGACGTAGTAGCACGTAGCAACACAACACAAATGCAAGTCTGCTGCACTGAACCCTCCCTTTCTTTTTCTCTACTTTTCTCTCTCTCTTTCACACACACTTAATATGTGCACTTCTTGTCCCACACATTATGGGTGTCGTGTTGGGTTGTAACATTTAAAATTAAAAAAAAAAAAATTATTTTTTTCGGAAAAGTTAAAAATTTCCCTTATGATTTTTTTATTTTTTTATAGATGAAAATAAATAAAGGGTTCGCTTTATCTGCAGTTACTGCAGATAAGTTATCTGCAGTATGCTCAATATGACGTTGTTTTGGAGCTGAAATCATGGTATTTTTGTAATTGTAATTTATTTTAGAGATATAATAGTCTTTATATTTATAATTTTTTAAGATTTCAATACCAAAACGATGTCGTTTTCAAAATAAATGCAGATAAATTATCTGCATTAACATTTTTCCCATAAATAAAAGACAAAACAAAGAAATAAAAACCTTATTATATTTTTAGAATCATTTATTCTCTTATAATTATTTTATTATTATTATTTGGGAAAAGTGTGTATAATTTTGAAGGATGTAAAATTGTGTCATTTTAAGAGAGAGAAAGAGATAGATAAAGGAGGAGAGAGAGTTGACAAAAAAAATAAAGTTGTGGGTCCCACCTCTTTGTGAGAGTGAAAGGATGTAAGTTGTGTAATTTAAATGTATAGACACTTTTCCCTTATTATTTTTATTCTCTTGTGAATTTTTTCATCTGATCCACCTTCTAATTTTGTTAAAAATAAAATAAAATAATTCATTTTACCCTTGTAAAAACAATCATTGTAAAGATAATAATTTTATATTATAATACTTTTTTTCATCCAACTCCAATTGTTTTCTAAAATTTACACTAAACTGTCAAAAAAACCTTTCGTCCCAATAATATTGAGAGAGAAAAAATATAATGAAAGTTGCAAGTTAGCAACTAATTTCGATACTCCAATAAAACAATATTCATAACATAGTTAGCAAGAATTAATTATTAATTTAGAATTATTATTTTTCTTTTTACAAATTTATATTTCTTTAATAAAACTAACTTGACTTGAGTTTAATAAATGTATTAATATCTTAAATTTTATAAATAAAATTAAAGATTATTTAAGTAATCAATTTATATGTAAATATATTTTTATTATGGGTTGAAAAAAATGAGCCAAAGATAGGTAACAAAGGAAACAAAAATGTTAGAAAAATATTAATAAATTTTAGTGTAAATTGGTTAACTGATGTACAATACACACAAATATTACGCTCAAAGTTGTGAACAAATATGCACGAGGAGAAGTGAAATAATCACAAATAAAACATGAAAGGAGCCAATTGAGTTAAAATAAAAAGAGTTCAATTTAAGTTAAATTTTACATTCTGATAGAGTTAAGAGTTTGAACATGTAACATATGTTTGATGATTTGTCTTAGTATTATAATAAATTAATAATATATGATTTATAGTGGAGTTAGATAAAAAAAAAAAGTATTACACTGAAATTTTCATGCTAAAAAATTGAAAAAAGTGAATAGTAACAAAATAATAGATAGTCTGGTATTGATTTTTTTTATATGGGCAAAATGGATAATCTAATTTAATTTTTAACAGTATTAGAAAATGGAATGGATGAAAAAAATCATTGCGAGTAAATGATAAAAATAAACCATAAAAGAATAAGTGATTTTAAGAAAAATCATACTAAATTTTTTGAATTTATTTTTCTCACGTGTATATTGCTTCAGGGAATTGATCTTTTTTTGTCTTATTACAATGTGGGTGGCTCTTCGAGAGACGAGAGGACGTGAGTTTCAGGAGAAGGTGGCTTCTAACACGGCGGCTTGCGATTTGATGAACAGAAACGTAGTAACTACGTGATGATTTTTTTATTTTATTTTTTTATTTTACAATGGTTGGGTTATAAGTATGGGCTATCATATTTAATTAGTATATGTTGATTTGTCATTAAAAATTATAAATAAATAAAAAAAGTCTTCTCACACAATATGGGGATGTTGAAATGAGATATTCCTCCACTAACTAAGGTAGGTGGTAATCGGATTTTGAGTGTTGGGTTCTAGTTCTAGCACTTAAACTAGCACTTAAAATTAAAAAATATACTTATAATTTTTTTCTTCTAAATTTTCTTACATGTAGATATTGTTGTATAAAATGGATCTTTTTATCTCTTATTAAAGATAGGCTACTCGAGCAAGAACGACTTGAGAAGGAAAAATAGTCAACTTAAGTACTTAATTATTAACAGTTAATTTGTCATTAAAAGTTATAAACAAGAAAAATCTTTTCTTATAACTGATTTGATGACATTTCTTCACTAGCTAACATACTGGATCGGTCTTAGTCGAATTGACTGCATACTTTTGTCAAACTATATTTAGCAGTTTTAATTTTATTCTAATCTTTTGTTAGTCATGTTTGTTTAACGAGATTAATATTTCTCATGTTGTTGGGGATAATTTTATCTCTTATATAAACATAAAAATGTATAAAGCTCATATGAGGCATGTGAATAGAAAAAATAAAAAATAAAATATGAATCTCACACACTTTTATGTATGTGTATGAAAAAAAAATATATCTCATACAACATAAGAAATATTAATCTCTTGTTTAAATATTTTATTTTATCCACTAGGGTTAGCCTAGTGGTGTGGAGTGTGTGTAGTGTAGTGGTATGTGTTCAATTCTATGTAATGAAAAAAAAAAAAAGATTTATGGCTCGTAGTGATAGTCCAAGATTTAATTATTTATTTTCTTTATTACTACCTCCAAACTAAAAAGGATAAATTTCAAATGAAAAATGATATTTGTATATTAAAATATTCAAACTATATATAAATATGCTGCTTATTTGAAAAAAAATATGAAAAAATGTGTACTTTTTATTTATTTAAATTTGTTCGAAGAAAAAGACCTATGTCTGGAAGTGATGGTCCGAATTTTAGTTATTTATTTTCTTTATTAGTATTATAAACTAAAAAAGATAAGTGGAAAATGATATTTTTATATCAAAATATACTCATTCTTTTTATATGTTGCTTCTTTGAAAAATATTAAAACATCGTGCATTGAAAATTTGGAACGTGTCTTTTTATTATTTTAAATAATATTACAAAAATGATATATAAATATTATTCCAGAAAGACTCACTGTCTTCCATTAGGTGATCTACCATTAATATTATCTTATAGCATTTTCTTATTGAGTTATACTATATTTTTGCTGCAGATTTTTTTTTTCTGTCACTCATAAATAAAAAGTGAGTGGATCCCATTAATATTTGAAACATTAAATTCTATATTTTTTTTACCTAAAGTCTTAAAATTAATATTTGAGTAAAAATTATAAGAAACAATTTTATTTTTTTTCAAATCATAATTTGAGACTTTACAAAATGTAAAAACTAAATATGCACTTAAATGATAAATGGAATATGATTACCAAAACAGTAAATCTTCTCCCCCGCACTCCGGATTAGTCCCATAGTCGGCTCAAAGAGTCGAAGCTCGGTAACTCCAAAAAAAAAAAAGTAAATCTTCTTTTTACATATATTATCATTATTAGGCAGTAGCATTGTTGTAAAACCCGGCCCGACCCGACCGGGTCGACCCGGAACCCGGCGACCCAATCATTGGACCGGTCTGGGTCAAGTATTGGACTGGTCATGCATCGACCCAGTCAAAACTCGGCCAAACCCAGTCAAAACCGGTGACCTGGTGACTTGTTGACCCGGTCGGGTCATGTATTTTTTTTAAAAAAAAAAAACTAAAAAATTAAAATTGTTTCATCTTATCAAAAAAAAATGTAGAACTCATTGTAATTTTTTTTTATAATTTTATTTGCTAGTATACTCTTCTACAATGACCTCAAATTTCAATTTTTAATATTGAAGCAGTTTGCGGAATAATAAATTAAGAGAATGTGACATGTTATTTTAATGTAGTTGAATTTGAAAAATATGAGTTCAACGTAATTGAGAGGTATGTTTATGGAGATTCTGAGTTACAATTTAAATTGACATAATAATAACGTGCATTTTTATTTATTTATGCTTCATGTTTTTTAGCTTATTTAGTGAACCTTATTTAATTCATTTTAGATATGAAAAATATACTTGACTTTATATGTTCATATCTATATATTTTTTTATATATGTATATATATCCGGGTCAACCGGTCCGACCAGTAACCCGCAATTCGACCAGTGACCTAGTAACCCATTACCCCGACCGGATCAATGCTCGGGTCAGATTTAATAACACTGATCAGTAGTATTATTATGATAGATAATGTATGACTTTTGTGCGTTAACAACTTTTTGAAACCAACTTTTTTTTTCTTTTTTGGTCGAGAAAAACCAACTTGTTTTTATTAAAACAAGAATGTGTAAATGAAGGTTGCCATCTTCTTCTCATAAGCTTAAATTATTATTAGGGTATTGTTAATGAGTACAAAAAGACGATAATTATTAAATAAAAATAAAATATTACATTAAAAATTAATATTCTGATGACTTAAAAAGAATTGAGTATTTTAAAATAAATAACAAATTTTATTTATTAATTGACATTAATAAAGAATATTAATTATTAAATGCTTTGGGGCGGTAAACTAATTGCACTTCTTGAAGGTCTCATGAGTAACATTGTTATCTTTTTAAACAATTATTGCCCTAAAGGAACTCTATTATGAAAGATAAATAAGAAACCCCCTCGTTCTTCAAGTTTAATCATCCAAGTATGATCATATCTAATGGCATAAGAAGACCCTAATTAGCAACTGTTAATTAGAGTTAGTCCAATTTTAAATGGTTTTATTTTTCCTGTTTATAGTGGAATGTGCCAGTCAATGTAGACGGCTCAGATCGATGCCTACTACAACCAAGAATGTTAAAGAAAATCGTAGTTTTAAAACATTCATATGGACAATGCATTGCACGATTCATTTTATATGTAATGGGGAATAACGCAAAATATTGGACCTTAAGGTCCAAAAATTTCATGCAATTGTATATAATATAATAATAACATTACTGCCAAGCTCCCAACAGCGTCTACTCATATGACAAAACTTGCAGAAAGAAATGAAAACAACCAAGAACAAAAAAACAAAAAACAAAAAACAAAAAGGAAAAAAGGAAAATTTCTTCAACAAAAGGAGTAGATTCAGGATGTATGCACCAGGAGCAAGCAGCTTATCCAAACTTTGGTAGCAATACCAATAAGAAATATCTGCCTACGAAAACTGAACACTGATGCCATGTATGTATCAAGCACCATCTGATGGCAGAGTGGTCTGAATATTTGAAGGCATAAGCATGTTGAATCCATCTGCTGCTGTAGACACAATCATTCCAGGAATCTGTGCGTGCCAATGCAGTTCTTTCAGGTCTTTCTGTCCCTGTTTTTAAGTTAAAAAAGAAAATACATGAATCAATAAACACAACTAATCAGGGAGTTCTACCATTCAGATAATAAATATGGAGTTCGACCTACCTGGTGAATAAACAATAGTTGGGGAGGTAGATTTTCTGGGGTATTTACTTGCTCTTTGGTTTTAGCTTTAAATTCAGCTTCCTCTTCCTCATCCTTTTCTAAAGAAAGGTCCCATATTCTGCCGTGGAAGATCACAAAACTTTTAAAATCCTAAAGATAATGATTAAAAAAAAAAAAGGAGCAGTCTCGCACTATAAAGCTCGCGATATGTGTAAAAGCAAAAAATAATCCTGAAATTTGTTTGGAATTTGACTATCGACATTCTACATATAGTACAACAAATATCATATTTTACTTACGTAAGTTGATTATCAGACGAGGAAACAGCCAAAGAAGAGGCTTCATGTGGACTCCACTCAATGGATGTGATTGGGTGCTTATGGTATTCAAAATGTGCTACCACAGAATCTCCTTCCTACCCACAAATCAATGCACTTTTCACATCAGCACATATAGCAAAAGCAAAATAATCACCGGAAAGAAATCAGAAAATGAGAAAGTTTCTTTCTAAATCACAGTAAGTTCTTCATAGAAGTTCCCTCACAGATGAATTTATAGGCACTTGTTTTGCAGGTATGACATGAAAGGTGCAAGAAGGATAAGATAAATGAAACTACGGGTAAAGAAAATCATCTCAGATAGATTTACAAATAATGATATAAACTGGGGCATTAGGAAAAAAAAATGATCAGGAAATTGAAGCCAGATATGACATAACTTGAAACACCTTTGACATGAGGGCACACCAAATGCACACAGTAACCTTCCCGTTATAAATGAAGCATGTTAAACAATTTATTTATTTATTTTTTTCCTCCATGGGGAGAAGGGGGGTCTTCATTACTATAGACAGGCTATCATACCTTGAGCAATCTGAGATCACGAATAGAAATAGTCCCATCATCACTCCCCGAGGCCAACATACAACTAGCCAACCTATTCAGTGCAACAAGAAGTACAAAGTAATAAGGAGATAAAGAATGGCAATCAAATTGATGGAACATCATAAAATTAATGCGTTAATACCTGTTCCATGATATTACATTCACATCCGCGTTATGTGCTTTAAAAGATGCAGCTGCTGACTTCCCCAAACGTGTGTCCCATATTGCAATGCTTCCATCCACAGAACAAGAAGCAAAAACATGAGGTTCCGTGGGGCTCCACTGTAGGTATTCATTGATTAATACAACTCTCATTAGATTTATAAATGAAGGAAAAATACTTATATTAGAGATTGGACTGCACAAAATATATACTCAAACCACAAGAAGAGCAACAATTCCTTTGTGCATTAGTACATACTTGCAGATCTTCAACACTAGCAGAATGTCCAATAAATGGAGTATTGTCAATATTCCATGTTGCAGCAGATGTGGGCTCCCACAGATAAATACAATTCTTGCAATCCCCTTCAAACATGAAGATCATCATCAAGCCTCATATCTCTGTGGTAACTAAACATGAAAACATGCTAGAAAAATAAAGCTAAACTAAAAAAAGTATACCCAAAGATTACCAGATACAAGCCTTCCAGGAGTAAGAGGACTCCAGTCTATAGCATAGCCTTCATCTTTGTGCTTATATTTATATAGTGGGTCCTGATTAAAAACTGCAGCAACTCCCTGGACACCTTCTGTTTCTGTCTCTGCTAGAGCATTGAGATGAGAGCTCAAGTCCCAGACCTACACATCGATTACTCAAGTATTAGACTATATACTAAATAGAAGGCATGACTCAGTACGAATGAAATGATTTAACTTTTCTGATTGAAAGCGATGATGCAGAAAAATATAAACTGCAATCTTATAACCTTAGCTGCCGTTAATAATTTAAGAATTTTCGGAAATTTGAATATGATACAACAGTTAGGACCAAGTGACCACATTTGTATTTGTTGAGATATATAGTCCCACATTGGTTGTATGAGTAACTAATGTGGAGTTTATAAGGCCTTGGGCACTCCCACCCCTTGAGCTAGCTTTTGGGGTGGTGTATCCCAAGGTTCTTTACATGGTATCAAAGCCTTGTGTCCCGAGTTCGATTCTCGCCGCCCCCCACTTTCTTTCAAGTGGAATTTCTTTCTTCGCACAGGTAGATGGGCCTGTGCATTGTCCACTCTTCAAGCCCAATGGGCTCTCGTGTGAGGGGGCGTGTTGAGATATATAAAACCATTAATGTAGCCTCACCCAATAGCTTAAGCTTTTGGGTTGAATTGGTTCTTTACATGGTATGCAATCATATAAGGGTTGAAACATGCTAAGCTTCTTTGCCAATGTCCCTTCCATCATTGCATAATCCATACTATTAAACCATATACTGTTGAGATATATAGTCCCACATTGGTTGTATGAGTAACTAATGTGGAGTTTATAAGGCCTTGGGCACTCCCACCCCTTAAGCTAGCTTTTGGGGTGGTGTATCCTAAGGTTCTTTACATGGTATCAGAGCCTCGCCGCCCCCCACTTTCTCTTGTGGCGTTTCTTAGCACAGGTAGGCTGGGCCTGTTGCATTGTCCACTCTTCAAGCCCAATGGGCTCTCGTGTGAGGGGGCGTGTTGAGATATATAGTCCCACATTGGTTGTATGAGTAACTAATGTGGAGTTTATAAGGCCTTGGGCACTCCCACCCCTTAAGCTAGCTTTTGGGGTGATGTATCCTAAGGTTCTTTACAGTATTTAACAGTAATCTATATCCGGAGCTAGAACTTATCTTATTTGATCCTACTATGCTTTGAAATTTGTCAGAAGTATTAGAATCTAAACAGTTATAGAGCCACAGAAGACGGCCTGTGGTCCTATTTGATTTCTCCAGCAAATATGAAACAAACATGGGGCCTTATTTCAGAGATTAATGTATGAAGTCAAGACAAAGTTTTATGATTCCATATGTTTCAAAATTATGTCTGCTAGGTTTGTGTAAGTGGTAACTAAACCAGTAAAGTACAACTACAATCACATATTAACGTCTTTTCTCTATTGAGACTTCGATCTTATGCATTCTGGCATCCACCAACCTCCACTCATTTAGAGTCAAAATGAAAAGATCTTTGCGCCTTTTGTCTTATCAATTATAACTTCCCAATCCTAGAGTTCCCCCTGAAAGGGAACACTTGATCTGTTTAAATGACTTAATACATTAACCCATCATGTTTGAATTTCATGTCAAAATGACATCATTTGGTTCATTTTTACACCATACAAGAATCAACTGTCAAACCACCAAACAGAACATTTCTAGAAAATGTATAGACAGTAACCAATAAATTTTTCATCCCCCAAACAGAGAGCATAACTATGAGAATCTGTATATGTCTAACCACATAAGAACTATTTATTCCCTCAAAATACAATACCTTAAAGCTCCCACTGAGCCAAAACAATCACCTTTTTAGGAGTTTTCTCATTACCTACAACTAGGTTCATGATATTCATTTTTCTCACCAAAATAAATCTAGTGTGAGTCCTTAGTCCCAACTTCCAAGCACTTATATTACTCCCTTTTGAAGCTTACTTCAATCATTCAAACAGTAATTTTGGGGTTTACTGTGCACTCTTTTCTGCTTGATAGTACATTTATGAAAAGGCTGAACTTGGGGAATGACTCAACTAGAATCAACAAAATATGGGGCATCAACCTACAGTAAAGTAACAGCACTTAAAACAAAACCAAGCAACACAATTGGCTGAAAAGAAGAACTTTACCGATAAAAATAATAATCTCTCTCCATTCCCATTATGAACTCTGTGGCATTTGGCAACAGCATTGCCAACTTAAAATAACACACTGCCCCAACAGAAACCACAAACTTCTTTTTTGGTACAACAGATATTATAAACTCTCAACATCAACATCACTTTTATCCCAAGCCAATAGCATATAGCAAAGATTTGCAACCACAGAAGTGTTTAAAAGCGCAAAATCATGGCTCATTTCACGCAATCTGAATTTATTTCTAATTAATTCAATAACTTCTAATGAGCCAATTCAGAAAATAACTCTTTAGATTAATTCAACAAAATATTTACTTAGTCAAGGTCCAGTCCATACATCTGAAAAAACTTAAACCGAATTAGTTGTGTAATGGAACTCTAAACATGCATCCAAAACCATAATAAGCTAGGACATATTATACGCATCAATGTTAGCCTCAGGCATACATGATCACATTAACATTTATCATACGTCTTCTCTCAAAACAAACTCGATATTAGCCAACTTTTTCCATCATGTATCCAGTTTTACTTCAATTTAGTTTATCATAACATGAGGAACAATGCCGTACCACACAAATTTGCACTAGTTTTATTCTAAAAACAAGGGAATATTTTCTTGAATTTCACCTCAAACTGAAAAACTAGATCATATGGCTGAAAAATCTGACCTGTACATGACCAGTATCTGCCCAAGCTGCACATATATGGGGATTTTGTGTCATGGAGCGTATACGGTTGACACATCCTTCGTGAGTTACCTTCCGCAACTGTAGATGTGAAAAGAACAAAAATGTGAGTAAGATCAAATTCAAAACAGACAAGAAGTGACATAATAAAAACTCAAATGAAGAGGATGTTGCCTGCAAAGTAGGACCCCGAGCACCATCTTCATCTTCACTATCATCCTCACTATCACTATCCTCACCATCCATTCCAGAGTTATCAGCTTCAATTTCGGGCACCAGCTCACGTCTCTTCCCAGAAATATTTGATACTTTGAAAATTCCAATAGAATTCCAAGAAGCTTTCTCTGCCTGTAGCACATGCACGATCATATAACAATATGACATTGTCAACCAAGTAAAAGGCAAAAGAAACAAAGCAAGTGAATAACAAAACTAGAAGCTGCTACGCATTAACTTTCATTGTGATACTGATAATTACTAGTTATAATAATAATAGTAATCTGCATTCCAGACTCAAACTCAAAATTCTTTTAAAGGGAAATTTCTCTCCCAAATATTTGTCCTGTGAAGCCTAATATCAACTTCCCTTTCACCCCATTTGCTATTGCTAATGAATAGTAACAATCCCCAAGTTGTTTAATAAAACATCCCAAAAAAACAAAAACAAATATAAAAAATAAAGCTAACCTGAGTCCCTGTCACGAAATATACTGTGTGGGGAAATTCTGTTCGAACTAAGCCCAGAGTGTCACGTACAATATCAAAGCTGTCAGAAGTCCCAAAACATATTCAGAACTTAAAGATTGCTGATACTAATCAGAAATTAAAGCAAGTACCCCAAAAAACAGGCCAAGATTCTCCTTTTGAATTGCAATGCTGATGCCAAAGTAACTTTACTTAAAAACTGTATGAATTATGATCCTATTATTAACAATAAATCCAACCAAAACAAATTGGCTTTATTTTTATTAAAAACAAACTCAAGTTTTGTTCTTTTACTCTTTCTGGGTGCAAAACAGGAAAAAATAAATAAAGGGAAAAGAAAAAACGCATGTAACCTACCTCAGACAGGGCCATCCAATGTGAAAGGCATGAAGAGAGTTGTAAGCAGAAGGGTCACACTGAAGCTCTTCACCTTCCTCCAACTTGTCCACACCGGGTTGCCACACCTTCACTGGAAGTTGTGGCGCCAAAGATGAAGAAGACCCATCCCCTTTCTTCAAGCCCTGAATTTATTATTTATTTATCATAAAAACAAAGATAAAAATAAATATGAGAGATGCCGACAAATAATCATAACGAAGTGAGGTTATAGAAGGGGTTGACTAGGCCACAAAGATTGAACCTTGCTCTTGCTCTTGACTTTCTTATGATGTTTTATGCCGCGAGTCATCTCCAATTAGTTCAGAGTTGAGAAAACTGAGAGAAGATAATGAATTACACGAAAGGAATCGTTTAACACCTTAGTTCAAACTCAAAATACCAAACATAACAGAGACAAATCGAAATTCATAACGCTTTCTATGATAACGTATTACTAAAAAAATGGGTAATAATTCAAGCTTGACTTGTCCATCATTGTTAAAGGGGCTATATTTTGTGTTGAACATTCTAATTTATCTAAAATCTCAAACGTTTAGATTGTTTTCATTTAAAAAAAGGATGCGCTGAACCCATAAAAAACAAAAGTACAAAGAGGGTAAAGAGCACTACAGAGATCCTATGTTGATTCAAGTTGCGGAAGACATACCTGTTGGTGTTGGATACAGAGAGAGAAACACAGTGAGTTAACAGATTGGGGTTTTAGGGGTTAATGTTTCGGTGGACATCATAGGGTTTTGTTTGTTTTTATTTATGCTTCGTTTGTTTGTTTCGGATTTTATGAAAACAGTTGTTTTTATTTTTTTTTTGTTTTTAAAGTTAAAAATCAAAATAAAAAACAAAAACAATTTATTTGAACCGAAATAAATTGTAAATTAGTATATAATAATCATGTTATATATTGTGTAAGATGAAAAGAAATAATAAAAAGTTAAATAATAACAATTTATACTTTTAAATTTTTATTTGTTTAAATAATATATTTGGTTAAATAAAAAAATTGGTTCAAACTAAATTCTTATCTTCAATTTTGGACCGATTTAACAGTTTTGTTATCAATTTTATGATCGTCTAATTTTCTAAATTATCTTAATCAATATAACCTGACCAATTTATTGATTTTTCAATCAAATCAACGGTCTAATTTATTTTTTTTAATAGATCATAATTGAATGTTAAAAACAATGATTATAACAACCACATTTGCCAAACAATAATATTAATAAGTAATTTATACCAATGATGTTAAACTTTGATCCGAAAATCAATGAACTCGGACTTGACTGGTTTGAGTTAGCCAATGAATCGTCGTGCAATGGATGGATCCGGTGAAAACCGGCTATGAAGTACCGACACTTCAAAAATTTTAACATGTCGTGTCCGACACTTCCTAACACTTCAACACGCATTGTAGAAACTCGAAAAAAATGTTCAAAGGATGCGTTGCGTTGCGTTTTTAGCTCCAACTATTAAATTTGTTGGATTACAATTACTATTTTATTGAGTTTAATATAAATATTTGGGTTATCTTATCTTTCTTTGCAAAATTGATAGCTATTATAAGTTTAGCTTCATTTTTTTGTTAAGTTATTGAATTATAAATATAATATACACTACATAAATTAAAAATATTATTTCATATCAAAACGTGTCCTAACGTGTTGAAATTTAACATTTTTTAGAGTTAACGTGTCAGAGTGTCCTATCGTGTCAGTATCGGTGCTACATAGGAAACCGGTTTAACCCGACTGTTTTTTATCAAAATCAGTAACCCGATCATTTTTTGTTAACCCGATTAGGTCATGTATTTTTTTTAAAATTGAAACAAGACAACTTTTTTAAAGCAACATCCATATGCAAAATCTCTAAGTTGCAATGCACAATCTTAAATTCACAAATACACATAAGAATCACAAAAAAAAAAAAACACGATTAAACTTTGAAAGTTAAGAATAATGAAAATAAAAACTCTATGTAAGTTGGATTGAAATTTGAAAATATAGAAGATAATCGAGAAAACAAATTTGAAAAGTGATATTAATTTTTCTTTAATATCGACCTTATGGATAATTGTTTTTTCTTTTCATAATTAGGGAGGGGCTAAGCTCGAAAAAATAAAATATAAAGATATAAAAGTTTATAGTTATGAAAAACAAGTAAATTTTTATCTTGTAAACTGATAATTTGAGGAGGAGGTTGGTTAGAAATGATAATATCCTTTTTCATAAGACCTTATTTCGCAATCTAATATTTGCATTTGTTGCTAGACATAACTTTGGATAATTCTGAATAAATATAATTTTGCATTTTACTAGACAATAAAAAAGTTACTACAAAGGAATTTTTAGTATAAAATATAATCAAAGTTACTATAATCCTCTCTAGTTCAATAGTGATCTGATATCCCGATCGAGTCAATGACTAGTTCAGATTTAATAACATTGATTTATACTTTTTTAATTTTAGAATGTAACAACTTTTATCCTTAAAGTTTTTCTTAAATTTTTTTATCACATTCTTGATAAGGATTATGGGTGTTCGTGGTTTGGATTGGATCGATTTTGGAAGCAAAAATCATCCGATCCAATCCCTTCAGTTTGATCATGTAATATCTATTCGATTTGGAATTTTTTTCAAATCCGATCCAATTCAATCCAATTTTTTCGATTTGGATTGGAACCATTTTTGATTTTTTTAAAAGCCTAAAATTTATTGTATGATTATTGTGCAAATAACACATCTTTTGTATGTATTGCCTTTGTAAATATTTTTTTTTTGAAATACAGAAACATCGGTAAACGATAATCTATTTTTTTTTTTTTGGCAATAAGATATAAAGCTCTACACAAATAAAATTTTGCTAATGGGTATGATTAGGTTTCTCTTGGGTTTAATTAATGAGTCTTGGATTTAGAATTTTTAAGGCTATAATTGGGGAAATGCTCAAGTAGGTAGTGAAAAATTAATATATTAAATTAGTTTTCACCAACCAAATCAAAAATCGATCAAATCCAATTAAAATTTGAAATTTTGATTTTTGATTTTTTTATTTTTGATTTATTCTATTTTTGATTTTTTGGTTCGATCACCGTGATTTATATCCTCTAAGAATAATTATAAGATGGCCACGGAATCATTTCTAAATTTTAGAATGCTTACATACTCACAATTCTCACATTGGGTGGGAAATTGGCCATTTATTATATTCAAGGAATAACCCAACTCCACATTAAAAGGCGGGAAACAGTGATCGACAAAGATTTTTTGTTTTTTATTTAAAAAAAATATGTATCATTTTAAAGGATATAAAGTTGTGTCATTTTAAGTAAGAGAAAAAAATAAATCATGGAAGAAAGAGTGGGGAGAAAAAGTTTTAAAGATTAGAGTCCTACCTTTTTATGAAAGTAAAAATATGTAAGGTGTGTCATTTTTCCCCCTTTATTATTATTTGCTATAACCGTATAACGCATTTGTTTTTGTAATAAGCTTCATTTGCGGCCCGTTATAAACTGTTGAGCCCATTCTTACTGCTAGGAAGGGCGCATGAGAATTGAGAGTGGTACTGTAGGCCTTCCTGAATTAAGAAGATGACCCAAAAGCAAAGGAAAGAATAGAGTCCATAAGTTTCGCTGTGTCACATAATTTAATAAAAAGGTAGGATATTGTAACAATTATCAATATTACTACTAATTAATTTCACTGTTAGATCGATTATGTTGATCCAACGGTTATATTTATTTCTATCTTTGTATGGTTATGATTCCCCATATTTAATGTGAAAGCATTAAATATGAGAAATCGTAATCATACAAAGGTAAAAATAAATATAAAATATTAAATATGAGAAATCATAATCATACAAAGATGAAAATAAATATAATTGTTAGATCAACATAATTGATCTAAAGGTAAAATTGATTGGTAGTAATACTAATTGGTTGTTACAATATTCTTCCCCTTTAATAAAATGCAATTTCGATATGTTTGTCAAATAAAAAAAAGCAAATTTATTCAAATGAAACTATCTCTCTCTCACACACACTCGCACCCAAAAATTTATTATCTAAAAAAGTTGTGGACTATCAAGTCCATAGAATCATTAGAAGGAAGGGAAAACAGTGTGAAGACAAGAAAGAGAGTTGGTCCAACAGCAACGCGGTGCGATTATGGGATAAGAAGAAAAAGCAATCTGAAACCCACACGGAGAGGGAATGGATCAGCACTTTAAGCACACGTAAAAGAATGGAATTCATTATGATTGTCATCATGAGCTATCACACATTATATTCCAACCCACCAAAGGGTTTCCCTATGGCAAATGAAATCATTACCTACAACAATTATCCCTTTGGTTTTCCCAAACCTAATCATTCTATTCAAATTTCAAAAAACTCCACTCTATTATTCTCTATCATTACCTCCTCCTTTATAACTTATAAGTCTCTCTTTCATCATGACACTCCTTATCAAAGTCTCCTAACTCTCTTTTTCTCTTAAATTGCATACCCTATAATTCGTTCTCTTTTTTTATTTTTCATGTAAAAGATAAAACTTAAAGTCATCCCTAAATTTTCGCCTATCAATTAAAATTTAAAAAAATGGTAGGAAATGCAATTGCTGTGACTTTTGAGAGGTTTCAACTTTCAATTTTCTAGGTTGTTGAAATGCTTCAATTCGGTTCAGAAATGCAGGCTCACAATTGTATGCGTTTGTTATAGCTTATAGATGGAGCTTATTATTTGGTGAAGAGTGTCCTACCTACAAATACCCTACTTCTAAGTAACGATTTTGTTACCAAATTGACTGGCCAACTGCAATAATACTCTTGCTTACTGTACATGCATGCTAATATTACCATTATTGCATAAAATTCATCTAACTGTTAATATAATTCGTGTAAAATTTGTTGCTATAACATAAATTGCACACTAAGTAAGTCCATCAATTGGTGTAGAAAAAATTATTTCTGTTTCAACGTAACTAGCTAATATTTGAGAATTCTTTCAGTGTATGCAATTATTATTATATTTTTCCCTTAGAAATTTACAAACATAATTAACTAATAAAAAGGAGCATCGAGTTTGGTGATCTCGGTGTAATGAAGTTTCCCCCTCAGAAGGCCTGTTGTGCAGGAAATAGCCTCACATGTCTCTCAAACTATTATTATATTTTTAATGCTTTCTTCTTTTGTTATTATTGATTTATTATGCTGTTTTTGTTCATTACAAATTTGTTATATAATTATCCCATGGGAATGAAAAAACATGCGAAAATTTCAGAAAACTTTACCTATATTCGGTTGGCTACATTCTCCTGTTTACATTACTTTGACTATAGTTTAGTCCATTTTCTCCTTGTGTATAATAGGATTTTCAAATTTTTCTAACCGAAATAATTCAAAATAGAAAATTAATAATAAAATTTTGTTATTATATGAATATTAATTTTCTAAAGCGTGGGGAAGCATAATTACTAGTCCTTGCCAAAATGTCACTCATTGCATGCCACTTACGAAGAATAAGTGGAGATTAGCATTAAGTACCTTCGGAGGGCTATTTCCGTAAATCTAACAAAATCATCATACAAATTACATGCCACAAGCACAAGGTATGTGTCATGCTTGTACCCGAAAAACTCAAGGATGCATAGCAAAATCATCATACAGGTTACATGCGCCATGAAGTCCTATTCATATCATAGGGATAAATTTTCAGTAATACATGTAGTCACTGTGTTGCACCCACAAATTTTTTAAAAATATGAGAAATTTAACTATTTTTACTCCATTCACTTTTTTAATTTTAATACTACATGAGTGCACTTATTTTTAATCTTAGTTAGAGAATATGTTCTACAAAATACTCAAAATTTACTCCTATAGGGTAGGGTAGGTTATTGATACTTGTGACAAGCACGATTTAACTTGTTTTACTTAGATTAATATTGATTTAAATTCATTAAGCAAAACTTTTGGGTGCATTGTTAATTAAAATATAATTTGGTATAGAAGACGTTACCATGAAATGGATCGGAAGACCCTCATATATATACGACTGACACGAGTTATTTCAACTCAATTAATAATTTTGGATTCAAGTTTTAAGCACATAGTTATGTTAAAAATTTAATAAAAATAATTATATTGTACTTATGGTTCTTCCCGATTGAATTAATTAAATAATCAATAAATTTATGAAGAAATTAAAAACAATTTCGTGACGGAAGATTCAGCCTTATTTTTGAATGTTTTCAATATAATTTTTATGTCATTATTTAATAAATTAAATTATATTAATAATTGATAAAGGATTTCTCTGGTCAATCGAAATAAGTTATCTCTAGTGAGCCCAAAATAATATCGTTTTGGAGCGAAAATCAAGATATTTTTGTAATTCTAATATATTGCAAGATTATATTAATATTTATTATTATAAATTTTTAATCTTATAATCCTAAAACGACGTTGTTTTGAGCTCACTGAAAATAATTTTATCTCCAGTGATTGGAGAAATATTTTTCTCATCAATAATTATATAAACTATCAAATTTATTAAATAATTTAACAAATACATTATCAAATGTAAACAAATAATTTTTCAAGTTTTTTTCACTCACCCGTTCAAAATTAAATAGTTAGAGCAGTAATGGAAAGTACGAAAGTAGATGAACTACTACATATATATATATAAACAACAGGTGATTAAATAATAGAAAGTAAAAGCATTAAATTAAATTTAAGGTTAACGCTGAGGTAATTTATGTTACATATTGAAAGAAAGACATAAATTAAGAGAAGAAAAAACTCAGAAGTATCTTACAGTCTCTCTCTAGATTATTTTTCGAAAATTAATAAAAAAAATGTCCAACATCGACAAATTTAACTTACTGCCTTTCTCATGGGACTTACTGCAACAGCTGAAGAAGTTATCAAGACTTTTATTTCTCATCCTATAATCATACATGCTAAAATATTAACATAAAGCTCAGATAAATAACTCAAGTTATATATATAACTTTAAAAGGTTATATATATATATTATTTTAAAGTACTGTTTAACATCAACTATTTAATTTGAAATAGAATAAAGACATTAAAATTATTATTGAGTATAACTCAGGTATTCTTCAACCAACAGCCGAAAACTAATCTCTTCGAAATATAGAGATCACCGAAGTAGATTTTGTTTCTACCAACAAAGTATATTTTAACACATGACCAGGAATCGAATCCTTATTAACATGCTTAAAAGACCCAACTATTTACTGACGCCAAGGCTTTATTGATATTAAAATCGTTATTTGTTCCTAGGTGATGCAATTAGATGTTTATGTTATACAAAATTTTATTCATAAATTTAAATTAATTTTTACAACACAAACAAACCCATTTTTTTTTTCTCCGGCGATATACTGGTTTATGTTACTATATTTATTTGAAAGGAAATGCTATTGTAATAATTAATTAGTGTTATTATCAATGTTACTACCAATTAATTTTACCGTTAGATTGATTATGTTGATCCAATAATTATATTTATTTATATCTTTGTATGATTATGATTTTTTATATTTAATATTTATTTGATTATGATTTCTTTCGCATTAAATATGAGAATTATAATTTATAAGTATACAAAAGATGGAAATAACATAATCGATCTTATTTGGAAATGAAAAAAAGTAATATGCAAACAAAAAGGAGTTAGTTAAGGAGCGATATCGGGTTAGTGAGTACAACCCAGTTCTATCCACTGTGAGTGAGTGAGAGAGACATTTAAAGGGAGAAACATAAGAGAAGACACAGAGAGAGGTTGAGGTTGGGGTTTTCGGGGTGAGAAGGGGACATGTTTTTACACAGTGAAGAATCGAAATAGTGGCATGGAAGAAGGGGTTCGAATGCTGAGGAACCTCATCGCTCAGCTTCAGTTTCTGTTGGACCTTTCTCCTTCTTCCATCCTTCAGTCTTCTCTTCCACCAAATCACACTCATCATCCTCTACCCTTGCAGCAACGCCCCAGGTCCCCTTCTTTCTCCTAGATCTATTTTCAATGCAGTTTATATATGTTAATCACTTTCCCTTCTGTTTTTGGTCAGGTTACTGTTCCTTTTTTATCTACGCTTCATATTTGTTTTCTTTTATGTTTTTGTGAACCTTTTTCTCGTACCATTCGTTCATAAATCCTAAATAAGGTTTTTTTTATTATTATTATTAAAACGAGTTCGGTTAGTTTGCTTCTTTCGGCCCTGTAATATGTAATCAATAAAAACATGCTTCCAGGAAGCATAACCTAAAATGCAAAAAATAAAAATAAAAAAAATCGCAGACTCTGTTAGATTTTCTGTTGTTTGTCTTGAGTGTGTTTTGTTGCTGCATAATTCTCTGTAATTAGAGCATATATTGTGAAACTTATGTGAATGACTTAGCCCTTGATTGCCATGTACTTCTTCTCTCCACTGTAGCAATTGGTGCACGTGGCTTTTTTCCCCTGTATAATCCCATTCTCTCTTTGTTCTTTTTGTTTTGTTTATTTTTAATTTTGTTATACTTTGTTCCTTGTCTTCTGTTAGTTTGAACTTGTAAGTCTCAATGTTCTCAGGGTAGCTTGAGTGGGTTTAAAGCAAATGTTCGCATAAAAAAGAGAAACATGAAGAGTTTGACATGGGCTCAGATACAAATTAAAAAATTTCACGTACAATGATTTAGAAACATGTAGAGAAACACGCAAATAAGAACATTACAACCATCTTCTCTTGCGGTTAAGGGTGCTTTCTTTGCTTTAATAACAACAAAGAGGCCAGTCAGATCATCACTAGGTCCACTTTCAAAGCTGCCAGGGCATGTATGTTAATCACAGGGTAAAATGTTGATAATACTGGATTGACTCTTAAGCTTTCTGAAGGATAATTGTTAAGAAAGGATGATTCACCTTGGTTCTCTATTTGTTACAAATTATGCTTGCTCTTGCACTGTAAGAGCTAGGAACAGTGACATTATGGACTGTACATCAAACATGGCACTTAGCAATCCTTGCTAAGATCACAGTCCAATATGTGATATGTCCGTTTATTATTTACTGGCTACTCAGAATCTCTAGCTTATAATTGTTTGGTTTTGCTATCACATATATTCATATTTAAACATTTGTGTTTTGAAGTGTGTCCTGACAGTCGCTTTTGGATAAACAACACTTTTTCTGGATTTGGTGCATTGTTTCTGTGTCATAGTTGTTATGCAAAGGAAGATGTTTGTATTAACAAGTAACAACTTAGCACCTTACTTACATTCCTTATGTGTTCAAGTTGATATAATTGAATATCTTCTTGATCCTTGAAATATGTGGTGGGCTCGGTCTAACTGGAATATCAATTTGTGTATTAATTTTATGGTCTGATTATACATTTTTCCTGTGAATCATGCTGGTCTTTGTATGCATGTATGTTCTATTACTTCACGGTAGGAAGTATATGAATTTCTTTGGTCATCCTTCTCACAGATGGTCCTTTTTTGACACTGATGATAACTCCGCGGATGACTTCTGTGGCCTTGTAATGGCAGCTAGAAAGTCTGGAAGTTTCAGGATGATGGAGCCTCTAAAGCATCCGTGTACTAAGAAGTCTCGAGGAGATAGGAGCATGTCAAAATCATCTGGAAATTCCTCTATGACTGAAGTTATGGAGCGACAAATTTGGAAAGATTTTCCTGAAGATCTATTTGAAGCTGTGATTGTACGACTTCCCATTGCCACATTTTTCCGCTTCCGCTCTGTATGCCGGCAATGGAATTCCTTGCTGACTTCTCAAAGTTTCTCTTGGCATTGTGCGCAAGTCCCTCAAGCAAAACCATGGTTTTACACCATAACTGATGAAGAAGTGAATTCAGGAGCCATGTACGACCCTTCTATGAAAAAATGGTATCATCCCATTGGATCAACACTGCCCACAAAGCGGACTGTTTTACCAGTGGCTTCTGCTGGGGGTCTAGTTTGCTTCCTTGACATAGGTCATCGAAACTTCTATGTCTGTAACCCACTGACAAAATCCTTCAAGGAGTTGCCAGCTGCATCAGTTAATCCTTGTGTTGCTGTAGGGATGACACTAAATGGGAACTCAGCTGGTGCAGGCTACAAGATCCTATGGGTGGATTGTGATGGAGAATATAAATTTTTTGACTCAGTAAGAAAATCTTGGAGCTGTCCAAAAAACATGCCTGCAGGTATTAAGCTTCCGTTTCCACTCAACTTTAGGTCACAAGCTGTTTCTATTGACAGTACCCTTTATTTTATGCATTCAGATGCAGAAGGGATTGTTTCCTATGATATGGAAACTGGGGTTTGGAAACAGTACATAATCCCAGCGCCATTGCATCTGACCGATCACACATTGGCCGAGTGTGATGGCCGGATTATGCTTGTGGGGTTGCTCACAAACAATGCTGCCACGTGTGTATGCATATGGGAGCTGCAGAAGATGACGCTTTTGTGGAAGGAGGTTGACAGAATGCCAAATGTATGGTGCTTGGACTTCTATGGGAAGCACGTTAGAATGACTTGTCTGGGAAACAAAGGTTTACTCATGTTGTCCTTGATGTCAAGACAAATGAATTCGTGGGTTACTTACAACATAGCAAGTAAGGAATGGGTCAAGGTTCCTGGGTGCGTGGTGCTACTTAGAAGAAAATGGCAATGGTATGGTACTGCATTTCATCCATGCCCGACTGCAATTGCTTGATTTTGCTTGTATGGTACAGCAATGGCCTGGGAATCTGCTGGCCTTAGGTGTTGATGTAGTAACGACAATGTTCATTTCTGGTTTAACAAATCAGATGGGAAATGATATGGGTTTGTAGTGATTTATGTTTTTCATGCTCTCAAGCATTTCAAGACGTTTTCTTTGTATATGAAGACAGAAAATAGGTATGGTTTTCATTTTTCTTTCCATTGATGTTTTCAAGCAGGATGGTCCTAACTGGGTTCGAGTTACCAACAAGAATTTAGACTTGAGCCGAAATTCATTCAAAATTTAGGCCGCTTGAACCAAGGTAGAGGCATAGCAAGAGTCTTAAACATTGTTAACCAGGCCTCTCCCTTAAAGACAGGAATCTACAAATATGTTTTTTTTATATCCATTGGTTCATCGATTATTCAATTAGTCTTTTTGAGCCAGTAGGATCCCATGGGTGACAGTTTTTTCTATTAAGTTTAAACACAATTACGTTTCGGGGACTCAAAACTCGAAGTCACTGGATAAGTTGAAATAACCTCTTATTAGTTGATTCACATGTTTGGTGGTAAAATATGGATTATTCTGGTATCACTTTAACGCCTCCTGTTCTACTCTTGATCTTGCATTACACAACACTATATTCTTATACAAATTTGCCACATCAAAACAGCGTGATATTGGTTCTATACTTGTGCTGTCTGCAAAGTGCAAAATGTAGCTTTCGTCATGGTCTGTTCCCAATACGGGGAATAAGTTGGGATTCCAATTTTGATACCTCACCCTTAGCCACTTTTCAATGTTGTGCGCTTAAGGTTGCTACTATATTTCGGTTTAGGACAGTTGTCCCTATTTTCAACGATAGAACAAACAGCCAACCACAACGACCTCCATCCTTTGCGGAATGCAGATAATTTATGATGGAGTTTGATCACAGAATAGAGATTTCAACCTCCATTTTTTTTAATGAATTAGTTTCCATTTCCATGTGGTTTTTTCAATTTCATCGACCACTTTAACACTGTTAAAAAATAAGTTAAGTCGTCCACTTTACTCTTTTTTTTTTTTTTTTTTTATTTAAAAAAAACACTTAATTTTATAGTTCCTCATCAATCCATGCTGGTAAAACTTTCGGATCATGGGAACAGGTTGCTACAATTCCTTTATCACTTAGACGCATTTTTAGTATTTATGCAGAGAGTATGTTATAATGCTGCTTTGGTTCACTGGATTTTAGGTGCAGTTGTACTTCCAAAATAAACAGAAAGAGTAACGGGCTAAAGATGTTTCATTCCTGACCCGTTGAAACTATTTGCTGATCTTTCAGATACATACACCTAGTTAAGAAATGCACATAAAAGCTCTCCAAGTCTAAAAGCTTGATCTTTCACAAGTCTAATCCTTGTGAGTTATAACTTTGATTGGAGAAAGGAAAGTACGTGGCGAGCTGGAGATTACAGCATGACAGTTTCAAACTGATTGGGATTGCATTCCTTCTATATAAATATAATTTTCCCTTCCACTAGACTAGGCACACACTCATATCCATCTATGCCCTTATTGATATCAAAAGAAATGGAAAATCTTTCAGCAAAGTATGAATGTTGTTATTAACACTGATAAGGGTAGAATCTATAATAATCTAATATAATGCTGAAGTAATTCAAATGCTGGATAAGATAAACTTGGATAAGTATTCTGGAAAGATAACCTAGATAAGATGACTAAAGCCTAGATAAGATAAAATAACTAAAATTTGGATAAGATAACAAATAGATAACCTATTTCTATCTGATTGCAGTAACTCAGCATGCCACATGAGAATAGCAGCATTTTGTTCCTAATATTAAGCTACTGTTATTGGAGGTAAGAGCATTTAACCCAAATTAGGTGAACCTTTTATTCCCTAAGGAAATAGCAACACGATAAAACTTTTATTCTTTAAGGGGGCGTTTGGTTGAGGAGAAATTTTATGAATAATAGGGAAATGTTATTGATAGGAAAATGGGAGGAAGTGAGTTTGGTAGGAAAATGTAAAAAAAAAGTTGTTTGGTTGGAAAAAAAATTACCGGAGAAATTAGGTAACATTTATAAAGTTTATGTTTGACTGTAGGTAAAATATAGATGGAAAAAAAAGTTGATATTACAAAAATAACCCTGTTTTAAAAGTTGAAATGATACAAACATTCTACCCTTTACTAATTAAATCGGGTTGTCAGCCCCAACGTCCATACGTAAAAAAGTTAGTGTTGGCAACGAGCATATTTTCAAAAAATGAAAAAATCTGCGTCTTTGGAATTGAGCTGTCGAGGTTTTTGGCTCAGCAACCATCACAAGAAGGACGTCGAGACCGTGTTCCAGACACTCAGCGAACACTTGACAAATTCCATAGAATTGCAAGTCAAAGTTCCTGTTTTATCTGAATGTATAGTATCAACTTGGCCAAGTTCTTCATTCAAATTTGAGGTACGAGCATGTGATGGCTGGTCAGTTTCCTCATAATACATGTGAACATCCTGGTTGATGAAAATGCTTGGAAGAACTTTCACAATTTCAATGGAGACATACAATGATATCGGAATCAAGTAACTATACAACATAAGTGCAGTCAAGAAATGCAGAATTGCTGCAACTGGTGCTTTCTTTGGATCAAAGTAAATTGTGGTATCATCTGGTCTAAGGTACCATCTCTTCATTACACCATTTTCAAGGTCCTCCCTTGTTGCAATCCCAAAGAAAATAGAACCAATAAAAGAAATAAAAAATAAGACAGAGAACAGAAAGTAGATGATCTTATCCATCCGTTTCTCAACTTTGCTTCTCTTTGATGGAGGCTCAGTAGAATTCTGCATAACCTTTGTATCATGGCCTGTAAAGATTACCACAGCATAGATAAAATCTGTGTTCCTCAGCTTTGAGTCCCTAAGCAGTAGCTGCTGAGGTGCAAGAGGATACAGTTGATCTTGGAGATCAAGGCTGCTTATAAATGAGTACAAATTTGCATTTGGATCTTCACATTTGATGATAGCCTCAAAATTTTGGAAGCTTGAGTCTTCTTGCAACTTTGAAGTTTCTTCCGGTGCTTGTTTCAGCTTAAGATTTGTTTCTCCAACAAGATTCAAGGTCTCAACGTAGCAAATTGCATCGTCATAGCTTGATGAAAGTAAGAAGAGATCAGCAGGGAAAAATTCATCTTTTTCAACCTTTACTGTGTCTCCAACTTTCAAATCTTTCCATTTAGAATAGTCAAAAACACCTTCTCCACGATGCACTTTAACCTTTCTGTTATTCATCTCGATATCCTGATGCCAATAGATGCATCAACATTTTCACTTTCGCGCGCTCTTTTTGGAGGGTACGCTCGTCATCTTGCAATACCACTTATGTAGATAACTTGCAATACCACCTCTCAATTGGGATTATTTGGCCTGCTATATCAATCAGAATCACATGCAAATGGGTTAGCTGGAACAATCATTTAGGTAGACAAATTTGTGAAACCCTTCAATCAAACAAGGTGATCATACAATCCCACTTCTCCATTTTTCTATCTATCTCATCAAAATCCTCCAACCAAACACACCTAAGGAAATAGCAACACGATAAAACTTTGTAAGCTACAAGCGAATGACTTTAAGATAATGGTGAATTTAAATGAGAACGTATTCTAATGGTTTAATTTTTTTTTTTTTTTTGAGTAATATCAAGAGTATCTCCAACTGTAACCGAGGACTAATCTCCAACTGTAACCGAAGACTAATCTCCATTGAGTACTCTTGTACCCTTCTGGGGTAGGGCAGCTCTTCTAAATCTTTTTTTTTTCTATTCCTAGGACTCGAACTTAAGACCTCTAATTAAGGCTGAGACTCCTTAATTGAGAATGTATTCCAACGGTTTAGTTATATAAAATAAAAAGTTTAAACCACGGGAAACACCATACAGGGAATTTTTTTTCCATTTCGAAATTTATAGCCACAATAAAATCTAAGGGAAAAAAAGAACAACCTTTTGATGGTTGGAGAGCTTTTATGTCCATTTCATAAACTAGATGTATCTGAAAGATCAACAAATAGTTTCAGCGAGTCGGGGACAAGCATCTTCAGCCCATGACTCTTTCTGTTTATTTTGGAAAAACTACTGCACCTAAAACCCAGTGAAACCAACGAAATATTATAAAATGCTCTACAAAAATACGAAATATGTGTCTCAATGATAAATAAATTGTAGCAATATGTTCCCACGATCCGAAATGTTTCACCATCATGGAACTAAAAAATTAAAGTGTTTTATTAAAAAAAAAGGGGGTTAAAATAGACGGCTTAAATTATTTTCTGAAGGTGTTAAGAAATGAATTGGATAGATAAAACAACAGGGGAGAAAAAAATTTATAGAGCGATAAGTGCTAAAAAATTCGGACAAATTGAACCAATGACTAACTGACGTAATTCGTCTCAGAGAACTACACCAAGATCAAACTGAATACTTGCCATCTAATTTAATTTGTAAAAAATTTAATTACAAAATATTGAAACCTCAATATTTTTCATGAAAGGTTGTGTGTGTCCCTGCTTGTTTTAGTTAACGATCGAATGGATAAGCTGCCTTGGTTCATTTCACATTATCTTCTTTTGATAAAAAAAACCCCAAGTGAATTACGTCCCCATTTGATAGACCGAAGAATTGAAGACGGTAACCCCAGCGGCTATATAAACTCAAGTCGATCATGTAGCCAACTATGATCCTTAATAAGAACGTTAAATCTCAGAATACACCAAATATATCCAGCAAACAACAAATGTTTTACAATTCATCACAGAAATAACCTTACCATTATTATGTCTTGTGTCAAAAAGAATTTCGGAATAGGAAATAAAGACAAAAATCATAAAACTGAATGCACAAGATGATATTGAAATGATAGTCTTACATGATCCCATACCAGAAAAAGTATATATAGAAGGCCTTTTCTTAACCTCAAATTATGCTACACTGTTTTAGATTATCCCTCACTGTCATGCTTTGAAGCTCAACAACTCTTCGGCCCTTGTCATTAGGCACCCCAGGTTTGGGACTTAGGAATTGGCAAAAAAAAAATATATATTATTTTTTTATTAAGAAATTACAGAGTAGGACATGTTTGAGTGCGCTATAGATTTATATATACATTTAAAACGACTACGTTTCCATAATTTTTTATTAAAAAAATAATAAATTTTTTTTGCACTCAAGTGGCACCAATTCCTTTTGTGTATTGCTTAATCCTGGATCAAATTCCACTTTAGCTTACCCTTGGTCTAATTCTAATCTTTTTATAGAACAATCACACATAGCCAAACAAACAAACAAACAAACAAGCAAGCAAGCAAAAGCATTTTTGTTATGAACACAAGACCTTTCACTTGATTCAACAAGAAGCATTGCAATACAAATAATTTTTGCAGAGGCCATCGAAAAACATCCCCTCTTCAATTCAGAGTTCCAGCCATAAATTATGCACTCACGTACTTTGGATATAATTATATAAAGGTGTATTATTGTTCTAGGTAACCACCAATGTATTGTGGAATAGAAGGAGACACATCATATATCATCAACCAAAGAAGCAATGGCATCTCGATTATTTGTCAAACATTTATCGATATCCTGTTCTCACAATAAAATATAGTTCAGACTCGGGATATACCAAATATATCCAGCAAACAACAAATGTTTTACAAATCATCACAGGTATATGTTACGGTTGTTTTTATTATTTTATTATTTTTAAATTGTTGGGTTGTTTAAGTAGTGGATAAGGGTAGTTATTTTGTTTGTTTTGTTATTTGAATTTAACTTTGATAAAGAATAGGTTATCGCTACTAGTGGAGCATATCTAGTGTTAGTGGGTAGTTCCTTTTATAGTTGTATAGAAGTATTGGAATGAAAATATCATATTAGAAAAGTTATCCCAAAATGCACTTGTGCAAGAAGTTAAGCTGTGCAATGTTCAGTAATGTTGATGAGTCTCCAATTTATTATGTATTAAGTGTTAATATAAGTATTAAATTAATTTAAAAATAATTAAAAATTATGATAATTATAATTAAAGTGTTATTTTATTCTTATTAATATTCTCATAAAAATTGTTATATTTTGCAGTAATTTTCAGCTAAATAAAGAGATAAATTAGAGAATTCAAGTGGATTTGCTTTAAATATCTAAATCATATAATTAATTGAAAATTTTATTGAATCTTCCCTTGGATATTTTTAAAGAAAGTTTTCCTTTAAATATAAAAAAAAGATTTTAAGAATTTGATTAAAGATATGATTGGAGATTCTAGTAAAAGATTTCATTAAAGATATTATGAAAAATTAAAAGGTATGATTTTATCACTATAAAAAGACAACTCTTGAAAACAAAAAAGAGGCTAACATATTGAAAAAGAGATGAGCTTTTTTGAATAATTTCAGAGAGAAAGAGAAGACTTGAAGACTTGAAATAAAGATATCAGATTAAGAGGTTAAGCTTCTTCAGTATAGCCATTTGAGTTCAGACTTTCTTAATAAAACTAAATTCCTCTTTTTATTTTTATTTTCCGTAACAGAATAACCTTACCATTATGTCTTGTGTCAAAAAGAATTTCGGAATAGGAAATAAAGAAAAAAATAATTAAAACTGAATGAACAGGATGATATCGAAGAAACCCAGCAGTACTGGGCCAACAGCATAGTCTTTGCCCTTTTTAGAACCAACCCTCTGTTTAAGATGTTCTTCTCAAAACTTCTCAACCTTCATGTCCGTAAGGCGCCTTGATGTCGTCTACAAAAAATAGCAAATTGCACATTTTTATTTCAATTAAAATCGCAGAAACAGAAAAGCTTAAATCAGATCCAAGCTGCATAGCATAACACAAGGAACAGTCCCAAAATCAGATCCATAAGCTTAAATCAAGATATGGAACAATTGGTCCAAAAGCTAACAAAACATTCCACCATCAATCTTTGTAACCACGAAATTCAACAAATAATATAAATAATAAAATTCTTTAAAAACAAGGTTATTCTAAAACAAGAAATTGACTCAATTTTGACAAATTCCTGGTTTCAATTAAGATGCAGGTAGCTAAATAGCCAATGAGATCTGAGTGAATTCAATTTCTAAATCAAATTAAATTCAATGATGTGAGTAATTAGATACTAGTGAATGAATGTATAAGAATGAGTGTAAAATTTCTTATTTTTACAAAATTACAAGTTGATCCCCCGTGTGTGTAAAACATTTATTATTCACGTATATTTTTTTTTTTTTTTGGAAATTATAAGGAATCGAACACACTATCACATACTAACACACACCCTATTACACACACCCACACCACTAGGCTAGGGATTACGTATGCTTTTCATTTACATGACTGTTCCAAGAAGACCTTATTTAATCTTTTTTATATATATTTTGTTTGTATAATGTTTTTTTTTTTTTTGTATAATGATCTTTTATATATTTTAAACAAATCAATACACACCAATGAAGTTGTACCTGAAAATAAAATATCTCAAAAACTCACAAAGATGCATACTTGGGAGCAATCATGGGGAATGAATTTTTTCGTGATGCGGATAGGTTTAACAATTTCTTGCCATGTGTGAGCTTTGAGAGGTTTGTTTGATATATTTTCAATCATAATTGCTGCACAAGGCCACAAGTCTTGAATACATCAACGAGACTAATATAATTTTCAATTAAAATAAATTAATATTTCATTAATTTTCTCCGCCAATTTTGGGTCGCAGCAAGTTAAATCTTAAAGATTCAAAAATATAATGTCTTTCTTCGCCCCATTGACAAATCAAAGTAGCCGTGTATCAGATTGTTTAGAATTCAAGTTCTTCGGATCTTTATTTTCCTTTGTTAATAGTTTGGGTTTGGGCCATGAATAACTGCTGACTATTAGAGTTTTTAAAATTCTATTTATCTTCTATTTATAAATTGAGTGACTTATAACAATAGTTAGTGATGAAAATATAATATATATATATATATATATAAGCTGAACATAACCTATATTTTCCTTGAAATATGTGGTGAGCTCGGTCTAGCTAACTGGAATATCAATTTGTGTATTAATTTTATGGTCTGGTTATACAATTTGTATGCATGTATGTTCTATTACTTCATGGTAGAAAGTATATGAATTTCTTTGGTCATCCTTCTCACATATGGTCCTTTTTTTGGCAGCTAGCTAGAAAGTCTGGAATAAGTTTCAGGATGATGGAGCCTCCATGTGCTAAGAAGTCTCGAGGAGATAGTAGCAGGTCAAAATCATCTGGAAATTAAAGTCCTGATCTATGACTGAAAGTTATGGAACGAAAAATTTGGAAAGATTTTCCTGAAGATCTATTAGAAGCTGTGATTGCACGACTTCCCATTGCCACATTTTTCCGCTTCCGCTCTGTATGCAGGCGATGGAATTCCTTGCTGACTTGTAAAAGTTTTTCTCAGCAATATTGTGCGCAAGTTCCACAAGCAAACCCATGGTTTTACACCATAAGGACTCATACTCGTGAAGGTGTGAAATCAGGAGCCATGTACGACCCTTGTATTCAAAAATGGTATCATCCCATTGTACCAACACTGCCCTCAAAGTGTATTGATTTAATAGTGGGTTCTGCTGGGGGTCTAGTTTGCATCCTTCACATAGGTCATAGTGTTGGTACAATGGGATGATACCATTACAAAGCAACACAAAAAGAACTCAGAGCGAAATAAAAAATACATGCTGGCCTGGGTGTCAGTGAACGGAGATAGATTCTCTACAATATGACAAACAAAAGCAACTTATCAAAGTCTGCATACGAAGAAATATATTTATTTATATATTTTTTGTAAACTACAGCTACATGTAATAGGGATATGTTATGACTGAAAAAAACAAAAACAAAAGCAGCTTATGTTAATAGTGAAAGAAGTAAAAAAGAAGCGCAACTTATGTTCATAGTAAGCATTGTAAAAAGAAATGAACAACAAAGAAACTTCTGTAACAGAAAATAAACATACGAACCATGAACAGGTCGAAGGATAACGTTTCGCACTTACCAGTAAAGGGAGACAACACACGACAGCCTAAGGTTGAAGAATCACTCAGAATATTTTTTAAGCGGTCTGTCCTTATTCTCTTATTTTGGGGAGTTTGGAAATCTGATTGATGTTTATTCATGACAGCGCCCAACTTGCTTGGAAGAACTTTTGATTAAGAGAAAAGAGAAGATAAACTAAGAACTTTTTAAACTCTCCTTTATATGTATATAGATGTGCTTCAACGGAAAAGCGAAGAGAAAAGAGAGATACTCCCAAAAATACCAAAAAAATAGAAAAGAAAAGTCCGCGAGATCAAAAAAACTCAGTGTGCGAAAATGACAGTGGCGTATTCGAATTGCAGGGTGAAATTAAGATACATAGGACAAACGTCATTAAGATAGAAGTCATTTAAAATTTAAAATTGATGGTCAGAACATGTGCGCTTTCACTTTATAATTTTGGGTAATAAAAATTTAAAATTTACAAAATTACTTATTCGTAAAATTATAAATTTTAATTACTTATTCGGTAATTTAATTAATATATGTTTTGCTTTTTGAGGGAGTAGAAGTCATTTCATCAATGATATTTGAATCAATTTTATAACAAAGATAATGTCTTTGTTATATCATTATTGTGTATATATTTTTAAAAAAAATAACCATAACGAAATTGTGAATTGAATGACGATCAGGTCTTCAACAATTGTGAAATTTGTTTTTGTTTCTATTGATCTCTATGAATAGAGATCGTGAATGCATGTCCATGAAAAGAGTTTTCATATATAGATTTTTCAAGGGATAGGATATTGTGACAACCAAATAATGTTACTACCAAATCTTAACCGTTGATTTCCGCCAATCAACGGTTATCATTTTTCAAATCAAACTCATAAATTAATTATTAATTCACAATAAATGATAACCGTTGATTGGCGGAAATCAACGGTTAAGATTTGGTAGTAACATTATAACCAATAACATTATTTGGTTGTCACAATATCTTATCCCTATTTTCAAATGAATTTATGTTATTATCATAGTTTTGAAAGAGTGGTGTGAGTTTAGAAAGATCATATAGAGTAATTCAAAACTTACTGTTTGAAATAGCCTCCACATCCATCTCTTTCGTTCCAATCTCCTCACCCGGGGCTGCAGACTCGCCACCGGTGACTTTCAAACCATCATCGCGTTCACCGTCACCTCACCCGGGGCTGCAGACTCGCCGCCGGCGACTTTCAAACCATCATCGCGTTCACCGTCACCGTGGACTCTCCCTTCGTGGAAACTGACGGTACTGAAGCTACTGTACTGAAGCTCTGACGAGGCTCTCGATCTGGTGAGTATGCATATTTTGATCTTCGATTCTGAGGCATCAGAATCACACCATTTTGCATCGTAGAATCCCATTTCAATGTTATAGCCTGTCACTAAAATAAAAATATTAATATATAATTTAAAAATAATTTATTTGAAGTATAGAAAAAGTGTAATCGATTATCATCCTATGTAATTTCTGGTTGTATATTCTTGATCTCCCTTGTTGTTCTTAGATCCAAGAGTGGTGATTGGAAAATTTGCTCCTTTTTAGATGGTAAAGGAGGTTGAATTTTGATAGAGTAATTTGGTTTGACCAAGTGGAGCGCATTCATGCCAATAAGTAACATGTTATAAAACTATAGGAAAAGATTTGAGGGAAATAGAGAAAGAAGAGAGAGTAGGAAACAAGAATCTTATTATTCATCGATCATCTACATTCTTGCAAGAGTCATGTCCTTATATAGGACTTTGAACATAATGAAAGAATAAATCCATTTTTTTATTAGAATAAATACATTAAATATACTATTAATGTTGCAGTTACATAATATACCAAAAGATATGAGCAAATAAAGAGTCATCCACATATTAAACTATATATTTTACAACAAATGAGACCCATAAAAAATTGTGTCTGTAGTATAATTATTCATTTGTAATATAACATGACAAATGGATTTTTCTTTTAATCCTTTATATATTTTAAACAAATCAATACAGAGCTATGAAGTTTTACCTGAAAATAAAATATCTCAAAAACTCACAAAGATGCATACTTGGGAGCCATCATGGGTGATGAAATTTTTCGTGATGCGGATGGGTTTAAAATTTTTTTGCCATGCGTGTGAGCTTTGTTTGATATATTTTCTATCATTTCAGAATATACATAATTGCTTCACAAGGCCACAAGTCTTGAATTCATCAATGAAGCTAATATAATTTTCAATTAAAATAAATTAATATTTCATTAATTTTCTCCGCCAATTTGGGGTCGCTGCAAGTTAAATCTTAAGATTCAAAAAAAAAAATTCTTTCTTTGCCCATTGACAAATCGAAGTAGTCGTGTATCAGATTGTTTAGAATTCATACAAGTTCTTCGGATCTTTGAAGTGGATAAACCCCATTTGGCAATAATCATTGAGGAATGAGAACTCAGCTTTCCAAGAAAGCAAACTTGAGGACTATAAGCTTATAGTTTGGGTTTTAGAACTCAACTGGGTCCCGCTATGACTTAGGGTCCATCTCGAGGATTTTTTTATTGTGATTCAGGCTCGTATCACTGTTTTGTGGTTCTTTTCCAAAAAGGGTAAAGTTTTATTTCATTTATACTCTTTTCTTTTTTTCAAATTTCCTCTTCGTCCTTTTTTTCTCCTATATTTTGAAAAAGAGCTGTTGGGCCGGGATCACAGCAAACAAGCTCCCATTTCGATGGGTTTTCAAAAAAATTGTTTTTTATATTTTATTTATTTTAAAATATTTTTATAAAAGTTAAAGGTATTTAGATTTTTTTTAAATATTTTGTTTTTGAAAAAAAAATATTTAGATTTTGACTTCTGCTTTTTTTAGAAGCTAAAATTTTTAGCTTTCAAAGAAAGTAGGTTTTTAACTCTCTCTTTTTAAATAAACTCAAGTCATGTAGCCAACCTGTGAAACACGGACTCACAATTTTTTTTTTAATTGTGCGTGTCGGACACATGTCCGACACGCGGTCAATATTTTGGGACACGTGGTCAACTCTCCGACACGTTTTTTCGACACGCAGTCAACTTTTTCGGACATGTGGTCAACACTCGGACACGTTTTTTTTTTAGTCTTAATTTTATTTTATTAACTAAAAAAAAATCATTTACAAATCAATTTTTTTCTGTTATGAAATTTGACATAAAAAATTAACAAGGTACGAAAAATTATTTTTATTTATATTTATGTTATGAAATTTGAATATTTGATTGATTATATGACTTATTATGGACTGTTATATCTATTAAATATAAATTATATTATATATATTAAAAATATTATTTAATATCAAAATGTGTCCTAACGTGTCGAAATATGACATTTTTTAAAATTAACTTGTCGGTGTGACGTGTCGTGTCTCGTATCAGTGTCCGTGCATCATAGTAGCTAACTATGATCCTTAATAAGAACGTTAAATCTCAGAATACACCAAATATATCCAGCAAACAACAAATGTTTTACAATTCATCACAGAAATAACCTTACCATTATTATGTCTTGTGTGAAAAAGAATTTCGGAATAGGAAATAAAGACAAAAATCATAAAACTGAATGCACAGGATGATATTGAAATGATAGTCTTACGTGATCCCCTACCAGAAAAAGTATATATAGAGGGCCTTTTCTTAACCTCAATTTATGCTACACTGTTTTAGATTATCCCTCACTGTCATGCTTTGAAGCTCAACAACTCTTCGGCCCTAAGTGAGAGAAGAGATACATAAAGGAGGACACACATACCGGACAGAAAAATATAAAGGTGTGGATCTCCTCTATTTGTAAGAGTAAAATGACATAAGTTGTGTCGTTTAAAAAAGGACAAACATTTTTTCTATTATTTAAATTCTTTTAAAGTGACTGACTTATCGGTTGACAGAACATAATACAGATAAGTTAAATCTAGCCTAAACCAGCGTAAATTGTGTGTCTACTCTTCTTCTCTTTTTCTCTTTTCTATTAGGATTGTGTTTGTCGATTTCAACACCTGTTTTGTTTCAGGATATACTGTTCCCTTTTATCTGCACTTTATATTTGTTTTCTTTTATGTTTTTGCGAACCTTTTTAGTACCATTCGATCATAAATCATAATAAAGTTGTTTTTTTATTATTATTAAAACGAGTTCGGTTAGTTTATTTCTTTAGGCTTTGCAATGTGTAATCAATAACAACATGCTTTCAGGAAGCATAACCTAAAATGCAAAAGAAAAAAAAAAAAAATCGTAGACTATGTTAGATTTTCTGTTGTGACTATATATTGTTGCTGCATAATTCTCTGTGATTAGAACATATATTGTGAAACTTATGGGAATGACTCAGCCCTTGACTGCCATGTACTTCTTCTCTCCACTGTAGTAATTGGTGCACGTGGCTTCCTTCTTCTTCTTCTTCTTTTCTTTTTTCTTTTTTCTCTGTTTGTTCTTTTTGTTTTGTTTATTTTTAATTTTGTTATACTTCGTTCGTTGTCTTCTGTTGTGTCTGAACTTGTAAGTCTCAATGTTCTCAGGGTAGTTTGAATGGGTTTAAAGCAAATTTTCACATAAAAAAGAGAAACAGGAAGAGTTTGAAAACGGCTCAGATACAAATTAAAAAATTTCACGTACAATGATTTAGAAACATGCAATTAAGAACATTACAACCATCTTTTCTTGCGGTTAAGGGTGCTTTCTTTGCTTTAACAACAAAGAGGCCACTCAGATCACCACTAGGTCCACTTTTCAAAGCTGCCAGGGCATGTATGTTAATTGCAGTGTAGAATATTGATAACACTTGACTGTAAGCTTTCTGAATGATATATTGTTAATAAAGGATAGATCACCTTGGTTCTCTGTTTGTTACAAAGTATGGTTGCTCCCTTGCGCACTATAAGAGCTAGGAACAGTGGCATAATGGACTGTACATCAAACTTGGCAATAAGCAGTCCTTGCTAAGATCACAGTCCAATATGTCCATTTATTATTTACTGGGTACTCAGAATCTCTAACTCGTAATTGTTTGATTTTACCATCACATATATATTCGGGGGAGGGTTATATTTACGAACTTTTTGTTTACAAACTCTTACAAATTACCCTCCTGGGAATACATAATGTAATTTGTAAAAAAAAGTTTGTAATCGGATCATTCCCTATATATTCATATTAATTTAATTGTGTGTTCTGACAGTGGCCATAAAAATCATCTGGAAATTAAAGTCCTGATCTATGACTGAAAGTTATGGAACGAAAAATTTGGAAAGATTTTCCTGAAGATCTATTAGAAGCTGTGATTGCACGACTTCCCATTGCCACATTTTTCCGCTTCCGCTCTGTATGCAGGCGATGGAATTCCTTGCTGACTTGTAAAAGTTTTTCTCAGCAATATTGTGCGCAAGTTCCACAAGCAAACCCATGGTTTTACACCATAAGGACTCATACTCGTGAAGGTGTGAAATCAGGAGCCATGCATGTACGACCCTTGTATTCAAAAATGGTATCATCCCATTGTACCAACACTGCCCTCAAAGTGTATTGATTTAATAGTGGGTTCTGCTGGGGGTCTAGTTTGCTTCCGTGATGATGACATAGATCGTCGAAACTTGTATGTCTGTAACCCACTGACAAAATCTTTCAAGAAGTTGCCAGCTGCATCAGTTTATTCTTGTCATGCTGTAGGGATGACACTAAATGGGAACTCAGATGGTGCTGGCTACAAGATCCTATTGGTGGATAGCCATGCAGAATATAAAATTTTTGACTCAGTAAGAAAGTCTTGGAGCTCTCCAAAAGCCATGCCTGCAGGTATTGAGATGCCGTTATCAGTCAGCTTTAGGTCACAAGCTGTTTCTATTGACAGCACATTTTATTTTATGCGTCCAAATGCAGAAGGGATTGTTTCCTATGATATGGCAACTGGTGTTTGGAAACAGTACACGATCCCAGCGCCGTTGCATCTGAGGGAATACAAATTGGCAGAGTGTGATGGCCGGATTATGCTTGTGGGGTTGATCATAAACAATGATGCCACGTGTTGTGTATGCATATGGGAGCTGCAGATGATGACGCTTTTGTGGAAGGAAGTTGACAGAATGCCAGATGTGTGGTGCTTGGACTTCTATGGGAAGTACGTTAGAATGACTTGTATGGGAAACAGAGGTTTACTCTTGTTGTCCTTGATGACAACACAAATGAATCCATGGGTTACTTACAACATAGCAAGTAAGGAATGGGCCAAGGTTCCTGGGTGTGTGGTGCCACTTGGAGAGAGATGGCAATGGTCTGGTACTGTATTTCATCCATCCTTGACTGCAATGCCTTGATTTTGCTCGTATGGTAGAGCAATCACAATGTTCTTTTCTGGTTTAACAATCAGATGGAAAATGATATGGGTTTTTTTTAGTGATTTATGTTTTTCATGCTCTCAAGCATTTCAAGACTTTTTTCTTTGTGTATGAAGAAGACAGAAGATAGTTATGGTTTTCATGTTTCTTGTCTCAATTCAATTACTTATAAGTTCGTGAAAGGTTTAATTAGTTACTGTTAGTATCATTCATGTTTTCAAGCAGGCCTCTTCCTTAACGATAGGAACCTACAAATATGGGCTATTGTGGTGTCATTGAACGCCTCATGTTCTCTTTTTCTTGCATTACGTAACACTAGTTCTTTACACAAATTTTGCCACATCAAAACTTTGTGATATTGGTTCTATACTTGTGCTGTATGCAAAGTGCAAACTTTAGCTTTAGTCTCTCGTGACATGGGGAAGAAGTTGGGATTCCAATTTTGATGCCTCACCCCCACCCACTTAACAATGTTGTACACTTTTAAGGTAATTTTTATATTTCGGTCCACGATAGTTGTCCCTATTTTCAACGATTGAAACAAAAAGTCAACCACAACGATCTCCACTCCCTTGCAGAATGTACATAATTTATGATGCCGTTTGATCACAGATCAATAGAGAATTCGAATTCTCTAGTGAAATGATGAAAGGAGATTGACTTTTCAATGTTTCATGTTGCCAACATGTTGACCTCTCGGAACACTACAGCTATCTTTTGGGGTAAAATAAAGCAGCTTTTTGGTATTAAAACCAATTCAACTCAAAATCTTAATTGTTGGGTAGACACCTAAGGGTCCTTTGGGCTTAATTGTGGAGCGGTGAAGATCGAACTCATGATCTCGTGATCACTAAAACTTTGATATCATGTAAAAAGTCATTTCAACCCAAAACTTTAAGCTGTTGGGTGAAGGTCTTTTTATTGCTTTATATTATTCTCTAACACAAGTTTTTTTGGCTTGAAACATAGATATTGCATAGACCCAATTTTTTTTTTTCCGAACATTGCACAGGCCCAATTTTTTATTTACCTTATGCTTATTTAATTTCACTAGAAAGGTGTTGATGAAGGCCGTTTTATTGATTCATATTATTCTCTAACATACACCTCCACGCAAGAGCCCTTTAGATTTGAAGTGTGGATATTGCACAATTTAATATCGAGAAACACAAGCAAACAGAACGAATAATTTAACAATCGAAGAAAAAAGAAACTTTTTTCCGGAGCATAGTAAAAAATGGCATATTAAAACTAACTTTCACCCTTTCTTTCTCCTCATGAAGATCTAATCTAATGGTGTTAAAGATGAGTAAATAGAGTAGGAAAAAATCTAGAATACTATCATCGTATATACAACCCACCAATAAGAGCATAACACAACAACTAACATATTTCTTAAAGAGAGAAGAAACAAAATAACTTTAATATTATAAGTATGTATTTTCCGAAATATCTTAATACATAATTTTATTTTGAATTAGAGTCGTACCAAATACTCAGTAGGATGGTAGTAGTAAAAATGCTCTCGTAGAATAAACACATGAAAAAAGATAGGCATAATATCATATCCCTATTCACATTACTATAAATTTCGGACAAATCGAACCCCATGACTAAAAAAAGTGAATTACGTTCCCATTCGATAGACTGACGGGGTAACCGTGGCGGCTAAATAACCTGAGGTCATGTAGCCAACTAAAATCCTTAATAGTTAATACAATCAGATAACACCTCCCATGCTATAATGTGGATTATCAATTATCATCTAACCCATCAAATACATCCCAATTTTTGCATTCACACGTGCTTCTCCTCTCCTATGAAAAATTGACTTGGATTGGAACACTATAAACAATAGTATATCATGCATTTCTGTTTGATGCAACCTAGTAAACCTGGCCAGCAATGTTCTCTCAACTAAACCTCTGGAAGACTCCCTACCAACAAAAGTATAGAAGACTTTTTTTTAACCTCAATTAAGCTACTGCGCTTTAAATTATCCCTCATGGCCATGCTTTGAAGTTCAACAACTCTTCAGCCCTCTTACCATTCATTGGGCACCAGGTTTGGGGTTTGGTAATTACTTTATAGTAGTGAGCAGTTAGACGATGCATGCATGTTGATCTCTTTGACCCTCCGAAGCTCCCCGATTGAACATGTGACTCTCAGATCAGAGGTGAATGCATTTTAAAAAAAAAATTAATTCGTTACTGCCTAAATTTAGAACTAGATTTAAAATTTGAATTATTCTCCTCCTTTTCTTCTGATCTTCTCTGATCCAGTGATCTCCTCCGTCGTGGTGATTCTTCTCTTACCACCGTTGATTCGTCACGCCGCCACCTCTTCTCTGTCATTCTCTCTTGAGTAAAAAATCTTCTTTCACATTTATAGGTGCGTGAGAAGAACAAGGAGGGGCTAAATTTGATGATATAACTTTTCAATAACTCAATATATTTGTTTTATACTTTGATAATTTAATACTTTAATTAACTTCTGTAATATTGACTTGTAAATATAATCGATTGAATTATATTAAATATAATTTGAATCTTTGATTATTTGCGATTTAATTTTTTAAAATTTTTCATATAAAGTATAATTATATCTTTTTAATGTATAAAATCTAATAAGCAAAATGATCCCATGATCCTATAACCTCCCAAATCTCGGCCAAGTTGATGGCTTGACCGAGTTTTTAAACACCGCGTTATATCCGGCTATACTTACCAGCTATCATTGGCCCGCAGCTGAGAGATAGGGATTTGAAATTGATCGGAGGATGACAAAGATGAGATGGTATATTTGCCTGGTCGTAAATATATCCCAACTCTTAATTTATTACTGCTCGTACGTACTATCATATTCATGACTAATTCCTAGGTTTGGGGTTTAATTTACTATTGCATGCACAATCATATTCATAATTCATAACTAATTTATAAAATTCATCCATCCCAGCCACCCTCAATGTAAGTAATTGAGGTATCCCCAATCACTTCGGTAAAATTAAATAAGTATAATACTTATATTTTTAATTAAAAATCCTTAAAATTCATCACAACATGAACAGGAACTGGGTCTAGTACAAGTACACGTAGAAAAGTATGCGATTTTCTACAGGGCTAGGAAAGAGAAGATGACACAATCCAAAGCAAACAAATATGCTTATCCTGATTAAGCCATGCCTCCAGTCGTTGCTGTCCTGATTATCTGAAAGAGAGCTGTACAAGAAAAGCAAACAAATATGTCAACGAAACTAGAAAGCATAGGCCAGGAAAATGCAAACGGAAGAAAAGTACATACAATCTAACACGCTCCAAGGCAAATATCATCCTAATTAAAACTTTAGCTCAAGTGACACCAATTCGTTTTATGGATTGCTGAATCCTGGATCAAATTCCACTTTAGCTTACCCTTCCCCTCCCTACACCAGGTCTAATTCTAATCCTTCATAGAAAACTTACACACCCAAACAAACAAGCAAAAGCAAAAGCATTTTTGTTATGAATGCAAGACCTCACATTTGATTCAACAAGCATTGTAATACAAATAATTTTTGCAGAGGCCATCGGAAAAAATCCTCTCTTCAATTCAGAGTTCCAGCCATAGATTATGTATTCACGTACTTTGGTATAAACGTGTATGAATGTTCTTGTTAACCACCAATGTGTTGTGGAATAGAAGAAGACACACCATATATCATTAACCAAAGAAGTAATATATTGATCGTTTGCTTATTTTCTAGAGTACTGGCATCTCGATGATTTATCAAACATTTATTAATATCCAGTTCTCACAATAAAATAACGATCAATCTCAGAATACACCAAATATATCCAGCAAACAACAAATGTTTTACAATTCATCACAGAAATAACCTTACCATTATGACTTGTGTCAAAAAGAATAAAAAGAATTTCATAATAGGAAATAAAGACAAAAATCATTAAAACTGACTGCACAGGATGATATTGAAATGATAGTCTTACATGATCCAACGACAACGAAGATGAAGAAACCCAGCAGTACTGGGCCAACAGCATAGTTATTTCCCTTTTTAGCAGTTGTTTCTGGCACCAACCCTCTTTTTAAGATGTTCTTCTCAAACTTCTCAACCTTCCTGTCCGCAAGGCGCCTTGATGTAGTCTACACAAAACAGCAAATTGCACATTTTAAAATCAAAGGAATCAATACAAGCTGCATAGCATAACACAGGGAAGAGTACCAAAATCAGATCCATAAGCTTAAATCAAGATATGGAACAATTGATCCAAAAGCTAATGAAACATTCCACAATCAGCTTTTATAACCACGAAATTCAGCAAATAATACAAATAATAAAATTCTTTACAAACAAGGTTATTCTAAACTAAGAAATTGACTCAATTTTGACAAATTCCTGGTTTCAATTAGGCGCAGGTAGAAATCCGATGAGATCTGAGTGAATTCAATTTATAAATCAAATTAAATTCAATTTTATTCTTAATAGTTTCAAACACAACAGATCCGATTTTAAATTGATACGGGATAAAACATTCCGATGGCATCAACATAAAACAAGATAAAAAAACTAATAGATCTAGATCGATAGCGAAAGTCAAATTCACATGAGAAGAAATAGATAAGAAGATAAGAAAGTACCATGTTCGGTTGCGGGGATATGGAATCGCCGGAAAAGAGTGGAAGAAACAAGGATATCGCCGGAAAACAAAAGAAGGTGTTCGCTTCCGGCAATGCCTCCCCAACCTTATTTATAAGTCTGCGTATGTGCGCGATCGGAATGAACAACGATGACCAGTTATTTAACCCTTTTTATTTATTTATTTAACAGAAGCCTATTTCAGTAGAACTTAAATGTAAATATAATTATTGGGATCCCCGAGCAGAGCGTCACGGCTTCTTTGCGATTGGCCAAAGCTACGTAACCTTGGACACGCGGCCTAAATATATTGGACTTTTTTTATTTAGTGCGTGAATGAGTCTTCGAGATTAGTTTCTAGGATAAACGCGTTCCACTCAGGATAATTATATTAACTTAATGATTTTTACGATAGTTATGTTGCAAGGAAAAGTTACCATGTTATACAGTAGAGATTCGTTTTTCGTACTTATTTTTTTTCTTTTTCTTTTCTTTTTTTCAAAAATTATGAATCTCACAAAATATTGTGTCTGTAGAAAATTTTATCATGTCATGTTGCATGACAAACGAAAACCCCTAAGTTAATAAAAAGAAAAATATTTGTTATTTTAAAAGATCTAATTTTATCATTTTATATCTTAATCATTGATTTTCGTTAATCAATGATTAGGATTTATTAAGTTTTATTACAAATTATTAATTAATTAATAAATTTGATCAAATAAATTCTAATTATTGATTGATAAAAATCAATGATTAAAATCTAAAATGACATAAATTTATATCTTTTAAAAGTATAAATATTTTTCCCATAAAATTATTAGTGCTAATAATTCCCATATAACTCATGAATATATATTAGTAATTTAAATTTAATATGAACTTCGTATTCCACCTTAGAACAATGTTTTGTTGTTATCAGAATTATTTTAACCATCAAGTACAGAATAATTTGCTACGGAGTTCGATTTACGAACTGTGTTCGTAGTCTCCTGACTCGATCTAATTAATTAATCGATAAAATGATGGAAAAATTTAAAAAAAAAAATTATAACCACCCCCAAATTATTTTGTAAAATCTGTTTTCAAAATAAGTTGGCTTTTTTTGTTAAATAATGCTTTTTTTTTTCCTCTTTCCTCTTTGTGCGGGAGCAAGGTGATTTTAATGGGAGAAAAGAATTCCGAAGTTGTTTTGGATCAAAATTATGCCTGATGGGCTCGCTTATTGGATTATAAAAAACAGGTTAAAATTTCAGCATTTAAGTTTAATAAAGGAGATTAAATTGCTGATTAGTTCTCAATTAATTTCGATGAAGAAAATTAAAGTTAATATTTAATTTATTAATTATTTGCTTAATTTCAGTTTTTGAAAAATAATTAATAATTAATTTCTCTATTTATATTTTTATGATTTTAGTTCTGCTTATAAATACGAGGGATTTGTAACTCAAAGGAAATAGATTTAATCAATGGAAATTGATTATTTATAAGTTGTTTTTGTTAAAAGACACGTTTTGAAATTTTGTTATCTTTATATAATCTTTAGTTTTTGGATTCTTTACCAATTGGGAGTCTTAACCCTTAATTTGGATTATGGTGACGTTTTCTTTCTTTGTTACAAGGTGGATTTTTTTAATCTGAGTGGTGGCATAACTTTTATGCCAAATCTATGGCTTTAAATGATGGCATAGATTTTATCTCAAATAATATTCTTATTAATTTTTTTATATTTCCCATTTCTATTAGGGATAAATAAAAGAATCAGAGTGTAAAATGTAAGTATATAAAAATAATAATTAAAAAAAAAATTAATTAAATGATTACAAATTCATAAATATAACATAACATGCATATAAACGTGTTCACTTATATGCATAATTTCTCTTTTAAACAAAAAGTTTGAATTGTTTTGGTCAGCATAGAAGGCAAATATGTGTCCCTAGATATTTCTAGAAACCAATTCAGGCTATCCAGCACTGCCGACAAAGGATTTCCCCGACCCACAAAACATTTGTTGTGAATTTCTTGAGGGTTTTTGGGCTTAGTCCTGATTATTGAATTTTGAAAGTACGACCTCATCAAATATCCCATTAGATAGGTATACTTCCGTTGACTGAAACTAAGTCAATTTATTGAACTATAACGCTTATTAATTGTTCAAACTTTCCTCTATATCTACCCCAGAATATGACACTTACAATTTCTAATTCTGTCTTACCAGTTACTACCATACCCTTATTCACATTCTTGCTCCTTTTTTGAGCATTAATTCATATCATATTTATCATAGTATTTGTATGAACTATGATTATGTATCCACATCATTCATGCTTCTTCCTAGTTTACTCCTTCGTTTTTGTTTACTGGCCTTTGTAAGAGGCAACAAGCCAACAATGGTTGGCACAACTATCTTCCCTGGCTTGCAGAAATTTCTTCTGTACTGTTAATATATCAGCATGTGCAGAACTTTGTATTTAGATAATTTATAGTTACTTCAGTTAGTTAGAAGGTAGTTATTTTCTATTACATCATTTAGCTTGTACACTATAGTCACTATATATATCAGTTTGATCAACCTTTAATAAAACTTGATCATTTTTCATTTTTTATCAATTTCAATAGGTATATCGGATGTATCCAAGTGGTACATCTTTTTTCAAAAAGCAAAAAAAAATCTCATTTAATCCATATCTTTTTAAATATTTTCCATCAAATTCTAAATTTTTTCTTTTTTTTGAACAAATATAGAATATATCTGATGCAACAAAAAAAAACACTCCTGCCTTACGGATACATTTTGGCAACATGCCTGTCAAATGCTCCGCAGTAAAGGCTTGCAGTGTTGCAGTACATTGCAACACACATAAAAAGACAAAATGCTTCGTAGATATTTCTTAAATAAAACAACACAGTATATATTATTATCGTTTGAAGATTTATTAAAAATCATAATAAATTGTGATACAATTTAACATAGATTTAATTTTATAAAAAATATGAATTTGGATGCTTTTAACTTCTTTTCTGTATCATACTATTCTAAAAAAATTGTTGGCTCCATTTTAATGATATGAGTTCAATTGGGTTTTTACTTAAAACTTTATCTCACCTTGTATCTTCAAAATTAACACCCTGCCTGTCTCTACTCTCCTCGCTAGTCTTGGAAGCATAAGCATCAACCTACCCTTATAAAATGTTTTATAACCCACACCCAACTAATCCTATCCCACTTTCATAAAAATTTCAAATATTTAAAAAAAAAAAGTTCAAATATTTTTTTTAAAACACGATTATGTACTACTAATACAATGAATCACAAACTCAAAAGTTATTTATCAACTTATATAATAAAAAATTGAGAATTAAGTGAATAAATAATACATCTAAAACCTTATCGACACAAGTATGAATGACAAAAGTAAATAGGAAGGGAGACAAATTGACTTTGTATCCATCCATACCTATCTAACATGCCCTGCACGGACCACAGATTGTAACTCTTTCTATCCCCGTGAGAGAAAGCAAGCTTTAGCCTGTTTGGCAGAGGATCCATTGGATAATATATATTTTTTCATTTCCTTTTCAAAACTTAGACGTTTTAATTCTGATAAAAACATTTATAACAACCTTTTTTAAAAGGTTTTTACTTTTTTATTTATAATTTTTTAAAAAAATACTTTTTAATTAATAAATAATTTTCTAAAAATACACAAATAACTATATATTCTTAGCAATGGTTGTCGCTGAAAATATATTTGAAGGATGAGAAATGATTCTAACGACCACAAACGTGTTTGACTGTCTAAGCCAAAATTGCGGTCTTTTAAACAAAGAACTCCGGCAGCGTCCGTTCAAATAGGCTACTGTCAGCCGTCAGGTAACCTAATACCCCAACCAACTATGAATAGGGAATTCCATCCTCATAGCAAAGCATCTCAATTATCTCTCTCTAACTTACTCTTTACTATTATTTTATCTTGAATCTTCGTTGAGTTGGTCGTGGAGAAACCTCTGGAAGGATGAAGAAACCACTAATTATTTTATAAGAGCCCAACCAAATTTTTTTCCTCGGTATAGAGAGCCCAACCTTTCAAACCCTTTAATTTCCCTCCATTGCCCACTAATCATCTTTAATTTCACCCCCACCTATTTGTAGAGATGAGTAAAGTCTCATATTAGTTAAGAATGAACTGAGTGAGCAATGAATAACTCATTTATCTTATATTTTAAGATTTTAAATTTGAATGTAGTGTCTAAACTCACTCAATGTCAATGTTCATTTAATCCATCAATTATCGTCTTCCCCCCCCCCCAATAAGTTTCCCCTATTGGCCCAATGATAGATTGATATGTGATAAACATGTGACCAAAGCACTGATGGTTCAAGTACAAATCATTGGTACTCCACAAATCTCAGATGCTCCTATGGCAACACTCCATTACCAAATGGTATATAGAGTGCAAAACCATGTTTTGGATTTGTCTTTACTAGTATCCTATGATGCTTTACTAATCGTTGCTGATACTGACTCTACCCCAACTTGTATCAATATTCCAAGACAACTCCAGAGAAAAGACCTCTTGCAACTCTTTCTAGAATCATGGATCACTTCCTATGAACAGGCAACGAAACCAGTCATGCAAGCTTCTCATACTTCATTTAGAACTTTAGATTCTCGACACGTTGAAATTAAGTTTAAAAATCCTCCAAAAGAAAGAGGGGAATCCTCAAGCTCAAACTTCATCTTCATGATAAGCCCTACAACAAGGTTTGAAGATATTCCTATTGAATGTTGCGACGAAAATGAGAAACTATGAGTGTAAATGGGTCAGACTAACCTATAGGAGCCTATAATTTGACCTATGCTAAGCCTGGCTTGGCCTAGAAATTAGACTAGGCTTAGACTTTATAGATTAGCCTTTAAAAAAATAGGCTATAGGCCAACTAAGTAAAATTTGGCCTCAAAGCATGTAGGCCGACCTGTTTATTTTTTAAAATAAAAATAATATATTTATCAATTATCATAAGTATTATTCATCTATCCTAAGTCTGCTAATAAAAAATCAATCTTTGTTGTCATGAACATTATTTAAAAATCTGTGTTCTTGTTAAAAAAGTTTGTTTGAAAAATTTTATAATTTGGACCCTTGCTGAAAATATTGTTTAATGAATGAGAC